TGCAGGCGAACTCTGACAGACATCATTTCCCACTGTTACAGCTATGGTACTGATGGGAACGTACCTCTGTCTGTTCGTGGACTGTGTGTTGTGTCCCGCTTCCATATATACAGATGATCTAAGCATGGCATTATTTGTATAGTACAGGAGAAGTACCATGACATCTGTGTCGTCACTTCGAATAACGATACGGTCATATCGCTCTGAAAAGTGAATTGCATGCAACACCATCCTTGTATTGGCTTCCTCGTGGGAACTGAATAGGTCCGTGAGATCGGACACACTGTTTTCATTGATACATTTTGAAATACAACCATCAACAAATCCATCAGCAATGATGAGTTCATGTCCACTGAGAAGAAATTCTTTTCTTAGCAGAATATATTCTGAAACAAAAACTGCTAAGCTTGCCTTGTTAGCAGAATTCTTCAGGAATTTTCTGTAGTTTGGAACTGTATGGCCACCTTTTACATCAAACGTGGCTACTGACTCATCTCCACGTCTTTGTCGCTCCAACTGTTTGATTGAATTTGGGCTGTCATATCTATCAAACACAATGGCAATGGTGCCAACACCAAGACTGCTATCAAGAATTACCTTCAACCGTCGAAGAACGCAATGTCCTAAGTCATCAAAGGTGGTGAACTGTGTGTCTTTCAAGCTTTGCAAGAGTGTCATTTGGTGCATTTCCTCATCGTGCCATCATCATGGAAAAGGGAAGGTGGGACTGCTGCAAGTTCATGTTTAAGGACAGATTCCAAACTGACATCTCTCTGCTTCGATACAACCAGCAGTCGACGAAAAAGCACCTCAGAATCCACCATAAACCTGTCAGTCTTCTTTGTTGGCAAACCTTTGCGCATCTCTGAAAATGTCAGTACTTTCCTGCGCAGGTCCGGATCCCAGAAACTCTTGTTCTTAGTTTCTTTAACGAGGCGCTTTGCTAGGAAATCCTGGTGTTTCTTCTTGCCTTTATCCATGAAGCCATTCAAACTTTTACTTACCTCAGCTGAGGCAACCTGTCCAGTGGCAATGTTGATCAATTCTGAAGGCACAGTCAGTAGGTCAAATGGATTTTGATATTGAGAAGCAGCCTCCATGATCTTGGTAACATCCTGTTCATCCCTGACAAACCTTGCATTTCCAAGTTCCTCATGTGGCTTATCAGTTCTGCTCCGATCACTACACAGAGACTTAAACGATTCAGCGTATTCTGCAGTGATATGCCTTGTCTTTAACCATCGGGTAAGAGCACCTTTGTGTAGTGTCAGACCAATAACTCCTCCTTTGCTTTTGCCATCCCTGTTGATGGTTTGTTCCAGGGCTTGATCTGTTGCCACACTATTGAAGCTGTGCCTTGAAGATCTTTGTATGACAAACCCACCTCCATTCAAGTGTCTGTAGGCTGGCAGATCGTTGTCTTTCAAGGTGTTCATGTCCACTACATACATTGGAACAAACTTGGCATATGTGTGTCTACCTGCAGCCACAAACCAGGGAATAGTTTCACATACAGTATTCAGATGAAAACTGAAGTTTGCTTCACGCTCTGCCCTCAGTAAGCGCAGAAGTATATCTCCTCCATCCAAGAAAGTGTCCCAGTAGGAGAACGTTTGAGACATGGTTCGTCCAACCTGCCTAAACTCATCAATAGTTTTGATGAGTTTATCAAGGTGTTGATACTGAAGTTCATTTGATATCGTGATTGCTGAATCATGATCTTTTGTAGCAAATGCATCTTGCAGTTCCTTCAATTTTTTGGCAAGAATGGAAGCCTCTAAAGTGCGTCTTTGTTCTTGAAGCCATGACTCCATTGCCACAAACAACATACGGAATAGAGCTTCATGTACCAACTTCAAGCCTCGAAGTCCTCTTGCATATTCCTTTCCCTGCAGCATCTTACGGGCTGTGTTGACTGCATAGACGTCAAAGTCTGTCAATAAAGACAGAAGGCCTCCGTCACAATAGAGATGGCCGAGGCTAGCAATTAAAGCCATTGTGAGATGCATGCCTCCAACTCTCATGGTTACTTTTTTGTACAAGGCAGGAGGTTTTGCCCACAGGATTTCCTGTGCCTTCGAGTAGATGGCCATGTCAGCAGTTACAAGTATATGGCCTTGGCCTAGTTTCTCAGCCAGCTGAACTAACTGCAGTAGTACAGTGTATATTGTGGAGAGATCTGTAGGAGATGCCTGAATAAAGGGAAGATAACTCACGGATGCAACAGGTGAACTTTCCTCTGATATAAAAGAATTGAACCCGGTCCAGGATGGAATATGCTGAGATTGCCCTTCTTCTTTTCTCACATGAGCTAGCTTCCATATCATGTCCTTGTTCTGGGCACTAGCATAGGCAGTGGAAGTCGAATAGGCCTCAGTAGTAGAACTATCAGCCACTGGATTGGGCTGAGGACGTTGTGCTGGTTTGGTATACCTGAAACAAAGTAAGAAAATTCATTTACCTTAAATGCTAGTCATGTATCTACGTCAGTGCAGTATGTCTACTACTGGGCTCATCTTTGGTCCTACTTAAAACTGAATCCAGACTCTCATGAACCAGTATAGTTGGTTGACAGTATTACTCCAAACAATGTTGTTTCTTGTTCATATTACATTGTATTTATGAAATTGACATTGCATGTAACTGATAGGGCGACCGAGGTAAGAAATCGCCGTACTTCATCATAGGATACACAGTGACCCAGTGAATGGAGTTAATCTATGAGCAACTTACTCCCAAATTCATGATGTAAGTACACACCAATACCCAAAGTCATGAATGTTCTTACATGCTTAGATTTAGAGATAATGTCATGACAAACTGCAAGTGTTGCAAGATCATTCTTTGAAACATTTGCATCACCACAATCTGAAATGTGTTTGTATGATTTTCCGTTGGTAACCCACATTACAAAATTAAATTGGGAACAAATTTGGCACATGACAACATATTTAGTTGAGTAGATGGTTCATAATACAAATTTGAGTCACAAATGCTTGACATCTGGTATCTCAATATCTTGGCTGCAGAATGAAGGATCTGTCTTTCATCAATCTCAGATAGTCCAGATGTTGGTGTAAGATCACAAAGATCTTCAGCATCATCAATGAAATGCTGTTCTTGCAATTCAGATGCTTTTCGTAGAGCATCACCCACAGAGACTGTACTGGAGACCAATAAGTCTGAACGTCCATGTTTTTCTCCAAAATATTGACTTAATTTCTCTTTCAGTTTCCATGAATACACCTCAACTTGCATTCCCAAATTTGACAAATTCTTTTCAAATTCCATCCTTACTTGAGATAATGTTTTTACGGATTTACTCCTGGAAAATATTGTTTCTTGAATGTTAGACACAAGTTGCTTAAAGGCCTTGTCATATTCTGAGTCTCCCTTGTCATGGTCAAACTTTCTCCTTGCTGCTGTAATGTTTCGTTCTGAGATGTATGCAGCATAACAAGGACGGTGGTACTTTGCATCGAAGGCAAACAAGTCAGAATAGATTGTCATACGTAGAATAACCATCATTTCTAGCAATAGCTGTCTAGCAACACCTTTTCATGTGTACTCTGCCCTGTTCCTGTGGCAATCTGTGTTAGTTTCTCACCCTTTTCCACCCTTTGCTACAAATGAAGCAATGTTGCCGGATGTTAAATGATGATGTGTCATTTCTGCTTAAGCGGGTGTTGTTGTATATGGATTCTTCAGACTGTGTTGTCAGATATTTGACTGTTGTCTACATGTACATGCTTCAAATTGGATTTGCTGGTATACGATGCTCGACAAGACTTGTGAAAAGCAACTTCAATAGTCCCTGTCAAAATATCATCTTTGAATGGCAATAGATGATGATACACTTCATCCAGACGTACTTTAGAAGCTGTAAACAATGCTTGCAGTCCATCTACTGTGGGTTTTCTTACAATATTTGATGCCTCTTTCCCTTTTTCAGCAAGCTGTCTATGACAGAGAATACAATGTCCTATATCTGGTGGGACTGGGCAGATTCTTTTGGCAGGTTGTGCCAAATCCATCCTTATATTGTTTACACAATAATGAGCATCATAGTCCAACTTACATTGATCACTGAAACTTCCCTGTGTTCAATATCTATGTCATCACAGACAGAGCAGTCACTAATACTCCATATTGGATAGCAGAAGGGGAAATCACTCTCAACAAACATTGCCAAATTTAGTAATAATGAAGCGCCCATATAATCTTGGGTGAAACTTTATGAATGGACGGTGTTTTTGAGAATGGTTGTTTGACCTAGTCACAGTTGGTAATGGTAACATACCTTCAAATAAATTAATGCCCTCTACATGTGCTATCATATGAGTGTAAACAGGGCTTTCTGTGTCATTCTGAAAAATATTTATGATAAATGAAAACTCAATTTATTTCTTCTGCACTAACTGATGCACTAAATAATTCATTGTGTCCATCGGTGGCTTCAATAGAGTTAATGATTAGTACTGAAAGAATTGTTGAACATTACAGATCATTTTAAAAAAAAGATGAGTTGTACCCCATCAAATAATGTTGTAGTGGATGGTTAAGTGAACACCCCTGTCCTAAACATATTTTGCTCTTGTTACCATGGAAACAGAGCATTATATATATTACATACCTATTTCATATGACCACAACCATACTTTTCTTGAAGAATAGACATATATGTACAAGAAAATAAAGGTTGTATCTTGTTATACCATCGGTTGGGGTGCTCCTATTTTTATAGGCCTTTTGAAGAGTGGCCGCTGGACTAAAGAGTGTGTTGCCAGTTGAAATGAAAATAATGCCAACAGCCATGTTTAGGCTCGTGGACTGTGATTTTTTTACACCAACTGATACTGAATCATGTTGAAAATGCATATTTGGTATGAGAAAGGATTTTGAAGGCTTGCACTACATGAATGGAGACTGAAGTAACAGGTTGCCCTTTTTGAATAACAGGTTGCAGAGGTACAAGTCCTTAATTCTGTATTTTCTTGTAGACCTTGATACCGTCTATCCTGGTGTGGACAGTGTACTGTGGAGTCATCGCTTTGCTGTTCCTCCTCGTCAAGTTTGTCAACTTCAGGCTCCATCACATGTATGACACCGGTGATGTGGATGAAGAAGAGTCTAAGTCCGATAAGGGAAGCAAGGCCGGCTCCACTGATTTGGCTAAAAGTATTGAAATCAGGTAAACTATGAGTGAGCGAGTGAGTTTAGTTTTACGCCGCTTTTAGCAGTATTCCAGCAATATCACGGCAGGTTACACCAGAAATGGGCTTCTCACATTGTACCCATGTGGGGAATCGAACCTGGGTCTTCGGCGTGACGAGCGAACACTTTAACCACTAGGCTACCTCACTACCACAGGTAAACCATGAAGATGACTATGACTATGCAAAAGATTATCATGCTTTGTGTTTGCTGTTTGTTCGTTGTTGAGTTGACATAATTGTATCAATATTTAAGTTTTAGGTTGTTTTCAATTCCTTTCCTCTTGTAGTTAAAGGGGAAGTGTAAACGATTAAAACACCCTTTTCTTGTGTGAAACAAAACAGAATTTTTGAATCAGTTTATATCAATGCTTGAAAATATACACTCATTTTTCTTGCAATGAAAGTATATCCCTCAATATAATTGCTGGAATGTTATGCTGTTATGAGATTTTTGTTTGTTGAGGTAAACAGGCCAGAATTACCCCCCCATGGTTATGCCGTAATTGGTGCCAATTGATTTAAACTGGTCTCTTGTCTACTCCCAAACCAAAAGATATTTATATACATGAAAAATGTATGTAAAAATGTGAAAGAAGCATTATAAGCAGCAGGATAGATTGGTTGTGTGTATTTTCATTCATGAACCTCACCTCAATGAAAATACCAAATATGTAACATATTGTTGAGGTATGTATGGCATCACTATTGGTAAGCGCCTTTCAGAAAATGGCATGTTCACCGACATGAGTACGCAGGATATTAGGAAGGAGATTTTTGTTAATTCATGCACGTATATGCATAAATGTGTCATGAATGTTATTCAAAACATTCTGTCAATTTGCATGTTGTTATTTTCATTTTTGTTGTCATTGTGACTAGTCAGAAATGGGAGGGCAGGGGTGGAAATAACCCATTGCCCGACGTCCGAGTCCAGTGGGTTTTTTTCTGTCGGGCAAGCACATTTGTATATCAGGCTGTACCGGTGTCCAGTTGACATTCCAATGTTAATTATGTTGTTTATTTAAAAAATCACCAAGAAAATCGGCCAGTATAGGGGGAAACCTTTTCAGGGCAAGTGATTTTACATGTGCCACTGTACCGGAGTACACTAGCAATTTTAAAGTTATTTCCACCCCTGGGAAGTAACATGTACATTATGCGTCAGTCATGGCGTCACACTTACAGAAACTATTGAATGTATTGCGTACACCTATTATTATTTCCCTAATTCTTGGGGCGGTGGGGTAGCCTAATGGTTAAAGCTATTCACGAAAAACCCGGTTCGTATCCCCACATGGGTACAATGTGTGAAGCCCATTTCTGGTGTCCATGCCGTGATGTTGCTGGAATATTGCTAAAAGCGGCGTAAAACCAAACTCAGTCAGTCCCTAATTCTTGCTATGGCACTTTTCCCATGCATGTTCTAAAGTTCCCTATTAAGTGTGTACAACAAGTCGGCTGAATGGATCTTTCACAATATGAAAAAAAGATAGCCAAAAAGCCTGAAGTTCACTTTATTTACTTTTCAGACAAGTGCTCTTTTCTGAGCCCTGCGTTCATTTTCACATCTTACATATTTTGTTTGATTTCACCGAGACACATGGTGTTGGTGACTAAGACCAATTGTCATTTTGTTTTGAACTGTATGAGGACTTCAAGGATTCACAAAAGGAGGCTGATAACATAACCGACAAACGTGTGACATGATTTTATGACACTTTGCAGCATGGCTGAAAGTTCACTTTGCATTCATGTTTGCGTATTTTCCATAACATTCTCAGCGATTCTGTGGTCATCAAATGATCATTGGGAATTTGATCAAACAACAACAGTAGACTGCGCTTCAAAACAAAAGAACCGCATTCCTGTATACTACCTAAATGGGTCTAATAAGGTCTAATGATGTCATTCGTTTATCAGTTTGGCATCAGTGATGTCATATTGCAAGGGACATGATGTGTTTATTGTGGACATAGAACTTTTGGTAAATGAGCAAAATATAAATCGATATAATGCAAAACATAGATACTTTTGCTATCTGTACTGTTTGGGCAATGAAACTACTTGATAAACACTTTTTACGCTGAAAAAGTGCAAGACCAAAATGTTCAGTTTAATGTAAACTTGCTCTTTAAGACTCAAAATGAAACTGTCTAAGATTTTATCCCATAATCTCTTTCTTTTTGAGCCTAGTGTATGATGAAGGATATTAATTTTTAAACTGATCCTATCTCATGTTTTGTACTTTATCTTCTCTTTCCACAATGTAGATGAAATGACCTGGTATAAAGTTTTCACCCTCGCTGAATCAGATAGGCCATCTCAGGAAGCTTTGTGACCTAGTTGATCATGTGACTGCCAGTTGTACTCATACCGGTACTCTTGTTTAGGGGCTTATTTTGAGTGTTTGAGGTTATTGAAAAGGATTAAATACAGCTCTACATGATTGGAAAGGACGATGCAGGGTCATGGGAAAGGAAAATGTGTGCTAACCCTGATTTCCCGCGTCATCCTGCCATAAATCCTTGTCCCAAAGAACAGCGGTTGTCCATATCACTAGCATCATCGATCACTCCTTATTTGGAGGTACCTCCATCATACCAATCCAAGATTTCTTCAATGTCAATCTGTGTTTCTCAAGCATCATTATTCATCCAATCCTACTAGTTTTGTGGAACTACCGGACATAAGATAATCGAGTAGCTTTTCCTTAACTCGACTTTAATACTATGGTACAGTCCATGTCCCTTGCACTAAAGAACGCCCAGTTACCCGATCCTTCTGCTATGAGACAACATTCACTTGTACAGTTGCTGAGTGTGTCACCATCACCGGCGCCTCATTGTCATATGGAATTTCCTTCACCTTCATCTGAGGATATCTCGGGCAGTACTGAGAGTATCGATACTACAGTGATGCTTCCATGGATAGCCATTAAATTACAGCTTTTATGGAGTAACTCTTCAGCTAATAAGTATTTTTATATGAAGGATCAAGATACTTTACACTTACCTTCTTGTTCTGTTTTTGGCCAACCATCTACCTTCCTTTATGCAGGCTTCTTCAAGAGTCTCAAGAGGTTCTGTGACAAGAACTTGTCTCCAAAGTTTACGTTTGAGATAGTTATGTCCAAGGATTTACCACTTTGGTTTTATTACCTATTCTTGACAGAGACAAGACAGCTCTTCTAAATCAAGAGCATGTTTGTGGAGCTTTGGTCTATGATCTGTTATAGGTCATTGTGGATCATAGTATGCATTTTCTGGGATACATCACAGCTATTAGACGCAGGGTCCTTTGAATCCCTCTAAACAATTTCTGTCTGAATTAATCACACAAATTTGAACTTCTGTCCCCAGTCATGCCAATATACAAATCTCTGATAGGCTGAAGAATTGCTGTACCTTGATCCTGCACCACATTTCAAGATGGCCTCTGTAGCACTTCTCAGCACAATCCTCAACCCAGGAGACTATGTGAAAAGTTTCAGCTTGCAGGATGTGTACTTCCATGTCCTGATCTTTCCAGACCATCACAAGTACCTTCAGTTAATCCTTGATGGCATCCACTACCAGTCAGAGGTCCTCCCATTTGGCATTTCCATAGACCCATGGTTGTTTACCTGCTGTATGAAGCCCCTCGTACAGTATCTAGATTGTGAAGAGATTGTTTTCAAAGCCCACATCGACAGCAGTCTGAGACTTGACTGTATTTGACGTTACAAATGGCATCAATTCGGACCCTTGGTACTGGCCCAGCAGTTGCCTACAGCCCAACAGTGCAGATAGTGGTGTTTCCACAAAGATTCACGGGATCCGATGCTTCATTGCAAATGTTAATCCTGAATTGTCTGGTATTTATTGTTCCATTTGGGCACAAAATCTACCTCTCTCAGTGGTCTACTTCAGCGTTGAAGTACAGCTGTCTTTGGTGACTTCATCATACACTTTAGAGACAAGCCTCGTCCAACGCTGAGGTAATCAGCACTCATACTCACTATCCTAGATCCTTGAGAGCAATCATGTTATTAGAGTATGAATTTCCGAAAAGCTGAAGAGGAATGTTAAACGGCGAGCTTACCAAGCTGTTCTACTTTTTACATGAATGATGTGGATGCAGGGACTATTTCTGGAGACTCACCATCTGAACCTGTCATCTCACGCTTGTCATGGTTGTCGTCTCCTTATAGACGATGGGGCGGTGGGGTAGCCTAGTGGTTAAGGCGTTCACTTGTCACGCCGAAGACTTGGGTTCCATTTCTGGTGTCCCCCCGTCGTGATATTGCTGGAATATTGGTATAAACGTTAAACCCAACTCACTCACTCACTCCTTATAGATGAGGGTAATATGCAGTCTGTATCCTGTCCTATTTTCACGAGAGATAGGATAAGTTTACAAATTGGAAATTTTTACTATAAGTTTAATCTTTATAATTATCCTATCTCACATGTTTGATTCTGATCATGGGTAGTTGGGCCCCAAGACAAGGGAATGACTGCAGCTGGGAGTCATATGAGTTTCATGAGAAGGCCTAAATCAGTATTTGGTACAGGGGTGTGTTTGGGCAAAGAGTACACAGTGGCTGAAAACCATGTTCCAGGTTGTTTCCAGTCCACTGTTGGAAGAAAAAGTGCATAATGTGAGACAGCATAAGTATTTTAGATGTACAATTTATAGTTAAAATGTTAGTTTTATCAATTGTAATTATGGTGACCTTCATAATGATACTGACAATGTAATATTAATTGCTTTATCTATTTCAGGGATAATGCAAATTCTGAAGTATTGAAATGGTTCAACTTGACCGAAGAAGGGAGACAACTCCAGCTTTGGAGGGTGAACATGGATCCAGACTAGAGTTCATTTCTGAAATAAACTCAGCAGAAGGTTCAGGAGCCCACACTGACAGTAAGATCATCTCTGAGAATGTGTTTCATGTTATAAGTCTAGGTAGAAAAACTGTATTATACATATTACAATGTAACTATTTGTACATCAGGAAGAGTATTGCCGCATTGCCAGTTTTAATTCGTATATAGATTTTTTTCACTTTCATCATCTCATGTGATTTTAATGTCATACTAATTGGTTGGATTTTTTTGTTTTTCAAAAAAAAAACTTTTAACAGAATTGGCTTGCAGTACAATCTTCTGCTTTCTTTTCTTTTCAGATAAATTATCTCACGGAGTTGCTCCCCTTGCTGAAATTGAGGGTGATGATTTCAGCAACGAAACAGGATCAGCATCCCGGCACAGGCCAGATAGCACAGAGAGCAGTCTGGAAAGTAAGTCATTCCTACAGTTAACACTTCAGGACGAAAGAGAAACAAATACTGTTATGTTATAGGGAATCTTTCAATTTTCACCATGTCTTGGAAAACCAAGTAATATGAACAGCACTGAAATGAGTGACAAATATTTGCTTATTTTTATATTTGGTGTATTTGTGTCTCTGTTTGTATTATCAATGTTATCTTTTCAGTATCATTAAAATCAAATCTCTAAAGCTACTTCAAGATCTGAGGACATACTTAAATAAATTCATGATAGGACATCCTTCCCAAACTTTGACAAACCAATTAAATGACTAACAAGAAGTTGACATAAGCCACTCAGAAAATACCTTTCTTAAGCACTGGTTTTAAAATAGTAACCAACAATTCAGGCTACATTTTTATCCCCCGCAACGCGTTTTGCGGGGGGTATTAAAATGGACTCCGTCCGTCTGTCTGTCCGTCCGTCCGTCCACTCTATTCCGGAGCAGAACTCTAAAACCGTTCAATATTTCTTCACCAAACTTGGCACATACATGGATCTGGTGGTGTACTGGTGCCTTTTGGTAGTTTTGGAATTCTGAATTAAATATTTTTGGCGTTTCCATGGCAAAAAGGTCGACTTAGACTGAAATTAGTGGTAGTGCTCTTTTCCGGAGCAGAACTCTAAAACCGTTCACTATTTCATCACCAAACTTGGCACATAGATAGATCTGGTGGTGTACTTGTGCCTTTTGATAGTTTTGGAATTCTGAATAAAATATTTTTGGCGTTTCCATGGCAACAAGTTCGACTTAGACTGAAATTGGTGGTAGTGCTCTTTTCCGGAGCAGAACTCTAAAACTGTTCAATATTTCTTCACCAAACTTGGCACATAGATAGATCTGGTGGTGTAGTGGTGCCTTTTGGTTGTTTTGGAATTCTGAATAAAATATTTTTGGCATTTCCATGGCAACAAGTTTCACTTAGCCTGGAATTGGTGGTACGTGCAAATTTGTCTTTTCCGGAGCAGAACTCTAAAACCGTTAAATATTTCTTCACCAAACTTGGCACATACATGGATCTGGTGGTGTACTTGTGCCTTTTGGTAGTTTTGGAATTCTGAATAAAATATTTTTGGTGTTTCCGTGGCAACAAGTTTGACTTAGACTGAAATTGGTGGTTGTGCTCTTTTCGGTAGCAGAACTCTAAAACCATTCACTATTTCTTCACCAAACTTGGCGCATAGATAGATCTGGTGGTGTACTGGTGCCTTTTGGTAGTTTTGGACTTCTGAATAAAATATTTTTGGCATTTCCATGCCAACAAGTTTGACATAGAATGAAATTGGTGACAGTGCTCCTTTCTGGAGCAGAACTTTCAAAACCTTTCAATACTCTCCTTCCACTTTTCTATATACACACATAAATATTTGACATAATCATAACTCGTAGACATAATCATGAAGAGTATTTTGCCATTGCGGGAGATATTGATGACTTTGTCTTCTTGTTAAAACTATTTTGACGAGCTTCTTATTTCCAAATTTGGAAAGGACCCTTGACCTTTTCATTGACTTTTGGTCAAGTGAGGTACTGAGTGATGAGCTCAAAGTGTATGCGTATTAAACCTGGTGACTGTTGAACATTGTTTCCATTTCAGATGCCCTGAAGTCGGACCTGCCACATTCCATAACCACCCAGGTTGAGGTGGAGATCAACCCACACATCCCAGACAACACTCCAGCAGAGAAGTCCGGAAGTAATCCCCCCAGATTGAGGGAAGAGAGTGACTCGGATTTATCCCCAGAATATATTCCAAAGTTACGCTTACGCAGAGAAAGACGAGCAGTTCGCAGATCAAAAAGTGCTCTTGAACCTAGTAATGCTGGTTCCCAGTCTGAACCTAAGTCAGGGGGGATACGCATGTCTCTGCCTCCCCATGCTCGTGTCCCAGTGAGCTCGGAACAGCTGCAGAGACAGATCAGTGATGGACATATGGTGATGAGGAGGCTGGGCTCAGATTCTAGGATGGATAGCCCAGCTGTCAAGAGACAGGAGAGGCATGAAGCTGTGAGAAATAGACTAAGGACTCCAAGTACTAGATCTTTAGAATTACTGAAGGAGAACTTGCCAAAGAGATCCCAAAGTGTAACAAATGATGCCCTTCCCCATGAACAGTTAAGACCTGTTGCTGTCAGTCGAAGTCCATCATTACCTCGCCCAGCATCGTTGTCTTTGACAGCTGGTGGGAGTAGGCCCCGAATGGTCCGACATAGTCCCCAGTCTAGTGTCAGTGACTCTTCTGATCTTAGTCTTGGTGAAATATATATCCCCTCTATAGCAGAAAGGCCATCTGTTCAAGGTCAAAGGTCAAGGCCAGGGAGTGGGGGAACGTCCAGTTCTGCTCACACATTAACTGAACGAGGTTCGAGTCCTGCAATCTCAGGTGGGGGTACAAAGAGTAAAGATTTTGGAATATTTAAGATCACTCGATACTTACAAAGCAATGAAGACCCGAGTAAGAGAGCCAATCATTCAACACAAAGCAGTGTAGTAGGGCTAGACTGGTTGTTCAGTACAGACAGTGAGTCTGCAACTTCAGGAGACAGCCATTCACAGACTGATGTGTCAGAGTCTACAAGCACAATAACCAACGAGGGGGAAAGTTCGTATGATGTGAGCTCTGACCAACAGAACGCAGGGTATCAGCCTCTAGCAGGTCTGGAGTGTACCACTACCCCCAGCAGCCCCAGCACTGATGAGCTGGAGGTGATGAGAAGCCAGGGAGCTATCCCCAAACACTACCAGCGCAGGTCAGGACCAAGTGCTGCACCAGGTAAGGGCTCTTTGCTTACAGAACACTGCCAAATACTGCATTTTGATGACACTGTATCTTAAGCTGCAACAGTTTGTTGCTTTTGCTTTAGAAGCAGATGACAAATTATATGAACTCCACAAGAAATTCCACTAGAAAAAAGCCATGAAATAAAGTGTTATAATATACCTTTTACATAATTTGACACACATTTTCGTGGCCAATATGTAGAAGCAAGAAGCAAAACAACAAATAGAAAATGTTAGTTTCGATATTTCAATATCGAACAACATGCATATTTTGCATATCTACAAATTGAATCTTGCAAACCTTTAGCTGAATTGGTTTGGTCTTTGGAGTTGTTGAAAGTTTACAAATACTGCATATGTGGCAGTAATTAACTTATAATTCTGATCTGATTTAACATATTAGAAGAAGAATGCCATATGGACTGGGTTAGAATCGGTCCTCAACAATCTTATGAGATTGGATTACCAGTCACTCATGATCTCAACACATTGTTTCTGTGGCTCATTATTTCAGGGAAAATTATGAGCCCATTGCTGGCAAATTGCTGAAAGGTGTAAACAAAAAAATTCATCTAAATCAAGCTCTCTTTTTTAACAAGTAATTTAAGGTCATTGCCAGTTGTTCTTGATCCCACAGTGAAGCTTTGTAAATAGATATTTTAACAGTGACTAATGCATTCATAGCTTTGCCCCAATTGTCTCCATTTGTTTGTTTTAAGTTAAACTGAAGGCCATTCCCAGTATTTACATTTGTAAACCATTAAATCATTTATTAGCAAGATTTCAGTTACAGCCTGGGTATTGTTACCAGCCCATATGCAAAAGTTTGCTTCACTCACTAAGTAGTTGACTCTGTCACTTAGTGTAAGCTTTGTGGTTAAATCCCTACCTTTGATCCCTGAGTACAGAGTCTGTACTTTATGTGATTCAAAGTTACCTTGAGATTCATTTCATTATTTCTTTAAATGCCTACATGTTAAATATGAGCATAATTCAGTCTTAAAAGACACCTACTGCACATTGCTTAACCTAGCAACATAATGTTTTTGTTCTTTCAAAACTCAAACTTAAACCATTCAGAACTTATCCAAGTTTTAAAGTTCCATAAGATGAAACACAAATTATGCATTATCATTCTCGCTGTATTAATGCATTATCATTCTCGCTTTACTAATGCATTATCTTTCTCGCTGTATTAATGCATTATCTTTCTTGCTGTATGAATGCATTATCATTCTCGCTGTACTAATGCATTATATTTCTATTTGTACTAATTCATTATCATTCTCTCTGTACAAACTGCATTTTGGAATATTCTTTTGTCCTGTGATGTACCACCAATGGTGGTTCTATTTGAGCAACTATCTTGAGATATAGAGAAGCCAGCCATTTACAAGCACTAGATAACCAAATGAACAAAATGATAACTAGCGGATACTTCTGTACAAGCAGCAGGTGATATGTCAACCAGCCCTGGTTCAACAGATTTATCCGACCCAGAAGAAATCAAGAAGAAGCTGATAGAACTCCTGTGCAAATCTCAGGACCATCCAGAGGAACTGAAACGGTTCCGAGAGTATGTTAGACTGCAGAGTGAGTAGGCTTCATCCTTAGTGTGACTTTTGCAGTTAGAAGTACAGTATTTTGCTTCTTATGATACACAACTGAAGCAGACATTGAATAACTGTTGTGAAGCCAATCTCTTTTACTCAGCTACCTCAATTACATAGTCCTGAACTTTGACAATTTGCTAATTTGTTTCAAATGCATCGTTCTGATATCCTATTCAAAAGTCTTTAGTAGGTATTTTGGAGTTAAAAGAAAATAAAGACTTGTCACTTTCTATGGACGCCAGGTTCTTCTGTAGTGTTTTTGATAATATTTCAGGGGTACTTACTGCCATTTCATCAGGCTCTCCATTGAGTCTCATGTCTTCAGATGATACTCACTGCCTCATATATTCTGATACACTGACTAATTAAGGCAGAAATTCCATTGTTATATGACAAGCTTTTGAGATCTGCTAGAGACAGGACTTATGTACAGCTCTAAGAATCCCTTGAGTCCTTTTCTGGAACCTGTGAAGATCCGGGTTAGAATTGGTCTTCAGTAACCCATGCTTGTCGTAAGAGGTGACTAATGGGATTGGGTGGTCAGGGCAGACTTGGTTGACACATGTCGTCGTATCCCAATTGCGTAGATCGAATGTCATGCTGTTGATCACTGGATTGTCTGGTCCAGACTCGATTACTTAAAGACTGCTGCCATATAGCTGGAATATTGCTGAGTGCGGCATAAAACTAAACCCACTCACTCACTCACTAACCTTTTCTGGATCTGAGTCTTCCACATATAACACGAACACCCATAATTTCAGAAAACCAGAACAATAACAACAATGATGAACCGGACAAAGAGAAGCAGGAGGAGGCATCTAAAGCAGGTCAGAAACAATTAGGAAATCATGAAACTGCTGTGCTACTGATGTTCAATATGACGGCTGACATTCTGTGATGTAGGATAAGGAATAAACATTGGGACTTTCATTTTATTGGTATAACTGAACACTATAAGTAATCAGGCAACTCTTTATAGTCAATCCGACATGTAACTGTCTGACTGTCAGCGTCTCTAAGGAAATGGGAACAATTTGAAATAAACTTTACCATACTTGTGTTTAGTTTTAAAATTAAATTTTCAATGTAGTATGGGGTCTGTGGGACAATATTGTTGTTTTAGTTCAGTATTTTGACTGTTTCTCTTACTAATATTAGCAGTTACATGTTACAGATGTCTTTGTTTTTAAGCAGAATTCCTTAGAGATAGTATTCTCGATAGATTTTGACCCAAATGGCAAACAATATTTAAAATATGCCTCATCTTCTTGTGATGGATGCTTATCAACTATTGCATTAAACTATGCATTATTTGTGTGACCAAGCCTACAAGACCTTATCGCACCCATGTCCTGAGTTATCACCCTTTGCTGTCAAGGTTTTCGGAGAATATTCATTGTATTATACTGAATATATTTTCGGTCATGACTGCAGACGAAGTGGTTCTAGTGGAAATTATTTGACCTCGCTCTTGTACATGGGTGAACTTTTACACCTAACCCTGTATTTATAGAAAAAATAAAGCAAGAGAATGAAGATAAGGGAAAAGCTGTTGAACAGGACAATGGGGCGATAGGAGGGGCCCCCGGGGGAGGGACCCCTGCCCCCAACAACACTGACGAGACTGAGTCCAAATCCACCACCCCCACTGAATTCTCAGCTCTGTTGCCTCTTACAGGGGAGAAGACACCAGATAGTAAACCCCGGAAAGGAGTCAGGTAGGACAGCTGCTCACTTACCCTTGCTCTGAGCGCTTGTATTGCACTTCTAAGATTGGATCATGTGTAACCAGGCCTGTCTGTCTTTCTATTTCCCTTCTGTTGTACATCTTTCCTGAAAGCTTCTTTCACAAATTAATACTAGTATTTGTTTGACAGTTAATTGTTAAGAATGATATGATACTTTATGAGTGACAACTTCTTTGTTATATTATGATGTGACATTTTGTATAGGTTCTTTTACCATTGTCACTCTTGCTTGACAACAGTAGAAGAATATATATGCCAAATTGTTGCATCATAATATAATAAAGTTGTCATCTATAAAGTATCATATCTTTCTTTGTATTCCTCAATGCCAATCAAACAGATCAATTAATTCTTAGGTTGGACAGAGCGTTTTTGTCATATGAATAACAGCCCCATTTAAAGCCAACCCCAGATGAATAATATTAGAGAAAGGAATATTTCATCTGTACATTTAATATCACAATGAAAATTATATGATTGCAATTAATATTAATTTTCTGCACTATGTGAATAGCATTGTGAGCTTGTGGGTGATCATAGGTGCTAGAAAATAAATTGTTAATGAGAAGAGCAAAACTATTATCACTATTAGCTTCTGTTTGGTGGTCTGGTTTTAGTTAAGGTTTTTGGATAAAGTCATTTTTTTCCAGTTTAATTTTGGTCTGAGCTGAAATGGGATCTTGTTCTGTCACTGAATTAGCCATGCTGTTCACTGATTCTTGAATGCACTGCTAATGAATAACCTTACAGTACTTAGTTAACACCATTTGATATATCCATTCCTTTTCTATATAATTTTGACCAAGACATTTTCCGATGTTCATTTATACTTGCTACATTGACACGGAATGAATAGTCCCCGGAAGCATGTAGCCACCCTTCTTCAAGAGTTCCATTTGGATGTCTTGAATAATAATATTGTTGATGTCATAAACCTCACTCTATCACTCACACTTTCCAGCAAGTGACTGCATGTAGGCCATGGAAGTTAGATTTCGGCCAGGGATGTGTTAGTATGGGTCCTCATGGTCTACATTAAATTTACATGTTGATTCCTTTGTCACAATCAGCTGCATTTTGGTGCCTGAAGAATTTAGCATCTAAATTACTGAAGGCATTTTTTTTTTTTCAAACTCTGTTCCCAGCCATGGATGTATATCTGCAGCTTGCATCAAAGCTGCAGTTTAACCACCTGAGACTTGAGTCAGACAACAACACTGTTGTCCGTTATGGATGTGTACTATTTGTATGTTTGTGCCTATACCTAAAGGAGGCGAGGTGCTAAAAAGAGACTGGCTCAGCGTCGACGACGAGATTCTCCCCCAGCAGCAGCCTTGACAAGCCTTGTGATGAACACCGGCGGCCATCTTGCCACTTCACATATGGACACGACAGATGGTGCTGTCCATTACTTTCAAGATGAGAGTGGTCAGTTTCACTGTCATGTTCTGTTTTCCGCTCATTTGTAAATTTGTTTGTTCAAGGGTTCAGTTGAGATATGCTCCATGGGTATTTGTGCTTGAGAAACCAAATATGAAATCAACACAAATGAAAATGCAAAATATATTATCACTAATATTCCCAGATCATTGAACTATTTGACAAACATTAAAATGTTATTTTTCCATAGTAATTATTATTGTGATGTACCCCTGCAAAATAAGTAAGATCCCAGTGTCCTTCAATACAATGTGGAAGAGAAGAGTAGATGCCCAATACCCAAATCATGTTATAGCAAGATAAGAAATTTACAATGAAACACTCAAAGCATTTTAAATAAAGAAAATCCTCTTTTTCAGCATAAAAAAAAGACTTGTAAAACGCCACCACAAAGGGTTTCAACATTAAATATTGCAGGCCATGACAGCAACAAATCTGTTTGCTTCGTATTTGTAAGGTGTGAAATGCTGTGATGTTTTCTAGGTAACTGGTTAACATACACCTTTGGTGAGAACAGTTCCGGGGTTGCCTTGGGGATGCTGGAGAACCAACAAGAGGAATGGCAAAATCAAGAGCAGCATAACAAAAACCAGTAAGTGGTTGATCATCACATACCTTAGTTGTGACTCTGTGTTGCTTACAGTTTAGAGTAAACACACAGATAGCCTTGTTTGGAGTTGTGTACTTTGGAAACCTATAAGCAAGGATATCATCTTGTATAGCAGCGTATAATTATGTAATTTTAAACGTCTATACAGCATCGATATAAATTTTGAAACATTAATGCTAATAATTTACTGCCACAGATATGTTTACATTTGTTTAGGATGCTACGGTCAAGAAGGACAATGAGAAATTAACCATGGTTAATGAAAGATTATTTATATAGATGTAGAGATATTGACATATCATGGTACATTTGAGCCGATATTTCAACACTGAAATTTCCAGTGAATGATACCTGTCAGCCAATACTGCAGTAGTGACCTTATCTGTGAACCTCAAGGCACTAAAATATCTTTTGACCTAGCATAGCTGGTAAAAGACTGCAGATTCTTTTTCAGAAGAAGTCCTCCTGGGGGTACATATAAGCATTAAAATGTCCATTTTAAAACCCATGACAGTTGCAACTATATTTTGTAATAACATATTTACAAAGCAAAAAACATGTTTTTGTCTTGTGAGACCACCTCTACAGGGCCCCTCAGGGCCTACAGCCAAGAGCAGGTAACTCTAGCCATCTATCTCGCACCTCACTTTTTCATGCTGTCGTTCTATGAGAAAGACGTGTGTGTTGTTCATTGGAAGTTTGATCTTCTGCCTTCGAGATGAGTGAAAAAGAATCAGCTACTGTATATATGGTTCCTTTCTCTATGCACGGGCGCTAGTTGGAATTTATAGGTTGATTTTTTCATTCATAAATTGTTGTAACTTTGCCGTAGGTCACCCAATTCCTACCATGTGGCAGGCAATATGGCGGACCGCTCGGCGTACATTCGTCCTTTGTTGTGTGGTTAGTGATGGCTTTCACCAAGACAGGATGTTTGTGTAATGTTATATTATCTCCTGGACTTACCTTATTTTCTTCACTTTCAGTGAATTTACGGTAAGTCTGTTGTGAGTATTTTAGCATGCACTTTGTATCTGCTATATACTTTCTTGGTTATATGTACACAGGTACACGTTGTTAGTAGCAGCACAGGGTCGTCTCCCGGAGGCTTAGATTAGGCTCCAGGTCTGGCTCGTCCTCCGGGAGTGTACCTAACCTGAATCTCGGCTCCGGGGACGGTCACTCCGCGGCTTTTGTTGTATCGCAGGCCGGGGTTCCGGCTCCGGCAAAGTTCAACCTCTCGGCGCCAGTCATTCGGGTCCTGTACCGTCCTTGACTGGCGCTCAGACTATAGGTTTTTTCGAGTGCACCAGTGCTCCCGGTCGCCTTGGCACCCTCTGGTCTCCTGCTTCGGCAGGCAATTCCCTCGGGTCTCGGCAACTAGGCTTGGCCTCAAGCCTAGGATCGGTCGAGCCGGGTACCCGGCTCTCCTCGATCCTCCATCGTTGGCCTCGGCTCCCTCTACCGTTACCTTGGAGATTTCTCTCGATACAGAGAGCTCTATCCTCAGGGAGCGCGACGAGGAAGCCATGAAGGAGGATGTGGGTCAGGAGCGCTCAGGAGAAGTTAGCTTCTCACTCGGCTCGTCCCTGAGACAGGTTCGTGATCGTATCGCCGTGTTGCCTCAGGTGGTTGTTCCCTCGGAAGGCCCCGACCCCACGGAGTTAAGACTTCCTGGCGAAGCTTTTGCTCAGTGTTGGGTTGCCGAGACCCAGTTGTGTATACTTTCTTCCTTAATAGGGGAAGTTATCAATCCTCTCCTGTCGGGTAGCCGTTCTAGGTTCGATCTCCCGGATGGGGAAGGACCCTCCTGTTGTCGACGAGTGCACCTATGCCTCGGTCGCCCTCTGTGGGGGTCATCCAGCCATTCACAAGCTTCGGCTCGGCAAGGCCAATGCCTGTCTCCAGTTACCTCGAATAGCCAAGTTCTGAAATCAGCGTACCATTCTTTCGTGGAACAGTATCGCAATGCTATTCAGCAGCTTAAGGTTATCATCCACTCGGCTTACCTTTCTACCCTGTAAAGGCAGCTAGTGGACCAAGGGGGCGTGGGCGACGATTCGTCATCGTCCACCCTGGCGAGGCAGCTGACGGAGGTGCACTCGCTTCTGGCACGTGATGCCATACGGTCATGCACAAGCCAGATGATGAGTGCGGTCATGGGCCACCCTCGACTTTGGCTCACCGGCACCGGTACTCACCAGCAACCCAGCAGGCACTATTGCCGTTTCCCTTCAGGATGGGTTCAACCCTATTCCCGGGGGCGCTGGACGGTAGTTCGGGAGGCCGCGGAGGCAGTTAGCTAGTTCAAGGTCTCCAAGCCCTTGCTTGAGGAGTGGGAGAAAGTCACTTCAAATGCCTGGGTCCTGTCCACACTCAGGGATGGCCATTTGCCACAGTGGAAACGAGGTCCGCCTCCCTTCTCCAGGATCTGTTGCATTCCTGTGCCGAATTCTCAGGAGAAGGCAGGTACGCTCCGTGCCGAGGTCCAGTCGTTGCTGGACAAGGCAGCCATCGAGGTGGTTCCGTTGGGCTAGGAGAATCTGGGGTTTTACTCCACAGATTTCCTGTTTACCATGAAGGACGGAGGGTTCAGACCCATTCTAAATCTCAAAGGGCTGAACGACATTATAGAGGTGCCGTCTCAAGATGGAGACACTGCGTTCAGTGATCTCGTCTGTAGAGGCAGGAGATTGGCTCACGTCAGTCGACCTCAAAGAAACATACCTCCATGTACGGATGCACCCCGAGTTCAGGAAATACCTCAGGTTTTCCTTCGATGGGAATTGCTATCAGTTTCGTGTGCTCCCCTTTGGCATCTCTATGGTGCCATGGGTGTTCACTAAACTCATGCTTATTCCAGCTCAGATCGCCATGGCACAGGGCAACTTTTGTTACCCGTACCTGGACGACTGGCTACTCAGAGCTCTCGCCACCCACTTGAGTCGGGATTCCACACAGTCAGTAATGGATACTCTCACCAAGTTGGGTTGGATTATCAGTCTCAAGAAATCAGAGCTGGTCCCGACACAGGATCTGGTTTTCTTGGGGGGCGAGATTCGAGACACAGCAGGGCGTAGTCTCCCTGTCTCGAGACCGCATATCCAAAGTCCAGAGGTTTGTTTTACAATTCCTCCTGTCCTCCAGTGCCTCAGCTCGGACATGGCTCCAGTTACTAGGCAACATGGCGGCGACAGTGGATATAGTTTGGCATTCGTGTCTGAGGATGCGACCTATTCAGCAAGCTTTGGCACAGATGTGGTGGCACTCGGAGAGTTACGAGAAGTTTCTGGTAACTCCGGAGTGGCTCATTCTTCACTTACGGTGGTGGACTGACACCAGGAATCTATCTAGGGGCTTTCCGCTGGAGACCCCGGTGCCGATGCTCATAATTCAGACAGATGCCTCCCTCACAGGTTGGAGTGTGTGTTCTGGGAGACCTCACAGCTTCCGGCCTTTGGTCCAAGAACAAGGCAACCCTGCACATCAATGTGCTAGAATTGAGAAACGTGATGTCCTACATCCTGAAGCAGGGTGGTACGGTATCTCCGTCACTCCTTCAGGAGGCATGGCAGTTCCTACTCTGGTGCGATCAGTACGACATACGGGTTATGCATGTTTATCTCCTGGGGGTAGACAATGTCCATGCAGACGCGCTGTCACGACGTATACTAGTCCCTCACGAGTGGTTACTCGACCATCTCCCAGTTGTTCGGGTCGTTCCAGGTGGATCTGTTTGCCTCTTGGGTGACAAATGAGATGGCAGTGTTTTGCTCCCGGATCCCGGATCCGAGAGCAATCGTCTCCGATGCCTTCCAGCTTGCTTGGATGGACAGGGTTCTGTGGGCTTTCCCACCGATACCACTGATCTCAAGGGTCCTATCGCAGCTAACCACCCAACCAGCGCGACTACTTGTGCTACTAGCACCTCTGTGGTCGTCTCAGTACTGGTTTCCGGTAATACTCAGGTTGCTAAAACAGGCTCCTGTACTATTACCCATGAGGCCGGACCTACTATCCCAGACAGCGCACCACACCCGAACCCCAGGATTCAGTAGGTGGCTTGGCCTTTGTCCGGAATCACCTCCATGCAAGCAGAATTCCTGCACCAGTTGCAGACACAATTCTGGCTTCGCGGAGGGATTCGACAAACGTTCAATATGAGGATAGATGGGCCTGTTATGCACACTGGTGTGGAAACAGAGGGATTCTTGATCCCTTTTCTTCGACTTTAGTCGAAGTACTGGAGTTTTTACAGTCTCGGTTAGAGGCCGGTTTAGCCGCGTCTACTATCTGAGGCTACTCCATGGCAATATCTACCTTCCACATACCCACCGACGGGGCTCTTCTAGGGCAGCACCCTCTGGTGCAGCGTTTCTTAGCAGGCGTGGACAGAATCCGGCTGGCCGGCCGGTGTACTAGTCCCCTATGGGACTTATCCCTCGTTTTAGATTGGATGTCTGGTCCTCTCTTTTACGATATGTCGGCTCTATCCCTCCAGCTGTTAAGCTGGAAAGCAGCCTTCCTTGTGGCGGTGACATCTGGTAGACAGGTTGGTGACATTCACGCAATGTCATCGGTTCCGGAGCTTACCGATCTACCTGCTTTTACACAGCCTACATCGTCGGGAAACTCTAGGCGTGCTCACGCACTAGGCGTTCGTAAGACGCTTAAGGCATATATAAAGCTTACGGCATCTATCCGTAAGGATAAACAACTGTTTTGCTGCTATGGTGGCGGCAAGACTGGTCATCCGGCCAACAAATAAACCATATCGAGATGGCTTGTTTCTGCTATATGTATGGGATACATACACAAAGGTTTAACTCATCCAGAGGGGTTAAAAGCTCATTCAGTTAGAGCAGTTGCCACCTCCAAGGCATACGCTGCTGCTCTGTCCATTGAGGAGATCTGCTCAACGGCTATTTAGAGCCGACTGAGTACGTTCATCCGTCATTATCAGCTGGACGAACACTCACGTGGGCGTGCTCGGTTTGGCCAGACAGTTCTCCACAGTGGACAGAGTAGTACCTTTCTAGCCGAGTGAGCTTTCGAGACTACGTACTCTGTTTTACTTGGTGTCGTTTTTTTCGTCATTCTCCTTTTATCGGTGGCAGTATTCGGTGATGGTTCTTATTCCCGCTCTACTTTGGTATTTTGGTGTCTTGTACTTTACTTGTACTTTCCACTTCACCACGCTTTGCTGTCTAGGCGTTACTGATAGTGGTTTGTTTCGGCGAGTCCCCCATAGCATACTCCTCCAAACCTTGGGTTGTGGGGTGGGGTTATTTAAGTGACATGACACTGTTATCCAATCAGATATAGGCTAGACATTCAGGGTCCTCGCCCTAGTCATGCCCCCAGCCTTGATTGACATCGGCGATCAGGTGATGGGGTAAGTGTAATTTTCTATTTCCGCTCGGTTGTAGATTGTTACTTCCAATGGATTGTTATGCCACTCCCGACTCAAATATCTTTGGGAGTCTGTTTTATGCTTATATTTACCACAAGGAGGACTTCTTCTGAAAAAGAATTGTACAAACCTGTAGAGGTTATTGATTCTTTGAAGAAAGTACTCCTTGGGCTACGGCCACCCGCCTCCCCTTCAATCTATCTGATCGTTCAGCATGAAAAGTGAGGTGCGAGTAGACGGCTAGAGTGCTCTTGGCTATAGGGGCCCTGAGGGGCCCTGTAGGGGTTTGTCTCACAAGACAAAAACATGCTTTTTTGTTTTGTAAACATTTTTTTTACAAAATATAGTTACAACTGTCGTAGGTTTTAAATGTCGACATTTTAATGCTTATATGTACCCCAAGGAGGACTTTCTTGAAAGAATCAATAACCTCTACAAGTTTGTACACATTTTAACAAGGTTTTTTTTTTTTGTTGTATTCAAACAGTAGACAAATACTTTTCTTTTTTTCTGCAGATGGTCTTCAGCCTCAACATGCTCCGATTCAACAGTAATCCTGGACTCCCCGAAGCCAGAAGAGCGGCCCGATTTGTTCCATGACCTGGCTTTACCTGGCCCCCCTGGGGACGGCGGATGAAATGCGGACTCACAGTGCACTGCAGTCCTATGTTCAGGCACTACTGGAGAGTGGTCGGAGCAGGCCAACCATCTCTGACACCTCGTCAGATTCTGACACAACACACACTAAGTCAAAGAAGGAGAAGCCAAAACATTTCTACAAACTGTGGTTGTTAAAGAAGAAGTTTTTGAAAATCCGTTTTGATAGACTTGCCCTTTTGGCATTGTTAGATAGGTAAGTTGATCAGCTTCCTTGCTGCCTGTTGTGGTATATCATGTGAAGATCTGGGTTAGAATTGGTCTTCAGTAGCCCATGCTTGTCCTAAGAGGCGACTAACGGGATCGGGTGGTCAGGCTCATTGGCTTGGTTGACACATGTCATTGTATCCCAATTGCATAGATCGATGCTCATGCTGTTGATCACTGGATTGTCTGGTCCAGACTCGATTATTTACAGACTGCCACCATATAGCTGGAATATTGCTGAGTGCAGCCTAAAACTCACTCACTGTTGTGGTAAATCGTGTGAATAGAAAATGATATAGTGGTCGGATGGTGAATAAAAGTAGAAGTGACTGAAATGGTGCTATTAGTGTTTTGACCTTGCTGATTGTTTCATGTCCACACAGCCAAAGTACCATGTGACCTGTTTGATTAAACATCTTCATCTTGAACATAACACGTTTTTATAGATAACAGCTTCTCTTCATTCCTTATACGACGTTTCAGAGCTAATTCTTGCTTCTTCATCAGGTTAATGAAATGTTGTATAAAGAATAAAAAGAAGTTGTTATCCATAAAAATGTGTCATATATTCATGTTGTTCCAGCTTCTAAATGCGTTTTAAGAACTTCATCTTGACATAGGTAAATACGTGAGATTTGAGGCAATAGTGTCTGTTCCTTCATTATTTGCAGGCTTCCTTAATTGGGTATGAAATTGGCTGTAGCAGCTTAAGGGTTTACTCACTTGTATTCAAGGTCAAGCTACAAGCTGAGAAGAACTATAACAACCAGTACTATTTTATTCCTTTACTGTGAAATAAAACTAGAACCAGGTTTAATTATCCAGTACAAGATCTTTACTTTAACTTTATAAGTGAGTGAGTGAGTTTAATTTGACGCCACACTCAGCAATATTCCAGCTATATGGCGGCGGTCTGTAAATAATCGAGTCTGGACCAGACAATCCAGTGATCAACAGCATGAGCATCGATCTGCGCAATTGGGAACCAATGACATGTGTCAACCAAGTCAGCAAGCCTGACCACCCGATCCCGTTAGTCGCCTCTAACGACAAGCATAGTCGCCTTTTGTGGCAAGCATGGGTTGCTGAAGACCTATTCTACCCCGGATCTTCACGGGTCCTTCAACTTTATGAAACACATTAGGAGTAAAATTACAAAGATTCTCTGTGTTTTTGTTACAGAAGAACACTATTTATGGATAGACAACTTCTTTATTGCAATATATGCGACGTTTCGGTGTAGATCCTTGTCATTTGCTAGATAACAGTGTAGGATCTACACCGAAACGTTGCAGATATTGCAGTCCAGAAATTGTCTATCCATAAAAAGTGTTCCTATTCATCATACCAGTTTCTAAATGCCACTTAAGGAAGTTTTTTGTTATAGCTGAACATGTTGTATCTGTAATCTAGCCTTCTAATCGGCAGTGTTGTCCATGTTGCAGGAGCTTGTCTGTGTTTGAGAACATTGTAGCTGTGCTCATGGCGGTGGCTGTCGGTGCTCTCGGTGCTCTAGTCTTGTCGTGGAACTTCTACCATGACATCTGGATATTTGTCTTCTGTTTTATCATTGCTGGCTGCCAGTACTGCTTGCTCAAGGTAAGCGCGCTGGGTCGAGTATTTGGGAGGTTTTAATAACACAATATCATTATATGTCAGAGTTTTCATCAATTTTAAAAAATGTAAGGGCATTTGTGTACATCAGCTGTTGTTATGGATGTGTGTTTGTAGCTCTATGTCTGTGGCATTCAATCAAATTAAGTAAGAAGGGGACCCAAATAGTGATTTGCCTATTGTCTGTGGGTACTTAGATATCAATAATAAGATTTCAGGAGGGATTCCTCGCTTTTTGACACTGTAGGGGTGTTGAAACCTCATAATTAATTTTATCATGGCTTAAGGTACCTATATTAACTGTACATTAGCAATTATTTATGAACCAGTACTATTTTATTCTCTTTTCTCGTCATACCAGTTTAGTCTAGGATCATAATTGAGAAAAACCATGCAAACATGCACTTGACGGCTTTGTTGATATTTGTGCATATATTCTTTTTTTGTTTGTGTTTGGCATTATGATTTGTTTTGAAAATGACTGTCAGTACTTCTGACTGTTTCAATCTCTCCCACCAGAGTGTACAGCCAGATGCCTCCTCTCCAATGCATGTAAGTACAGGACAGAACGCATTTATACATGACCCACGAAGATATCACTTATGAATGGTCTCCTGCAAATCATGCTCGCTGTCCCCCGCCGCAAAGCGGAATGGGGGACTATCTTATCAGCAGCATTCGTCCATACATCCGTCCGTACGCCCCAATTCTTGTTAATGCGATATCTCATGAACTGTTCTACCCAATGTCTTCAAATTTGGTGACAGCCTACATTGGGGGTTTATGCAGACACCAGTTGATTTGGGTGACCTTGACCTTATTTTCAAGGTCACCAAGAAACCTTGACCACTTTTCAAACTCTTGTTAACGCGGATATCTCATGGACTGTTGTACCAAATGTCTGCAAATTTGTTGACAGCCTACATTGGGGTATTACGCAGACACCAGTTGATTTAGGTGACATTGTTCTTATCTTCAAGGACACCACAACACTTTGACCACTTTTCAAACTTATGTAAACGCGATATCTCATAAAACATTGCACCCAATGTCTTCAAATATGTTGACGGCCTACATTGGGTGATTATGCAGACACCAGTCATTTCAGGCATCTTGTATGTGACCAACAAATAAAAAGTAGTAAATATGTTATAAATATTTCATTCTCCTTTAGCGGCGGGGGACATTACCATATTAGGGGCAAACACTTGTTGTAAGAGGCAACTAACAGGATCAGGTTGTCAGGCTTGATAATTTGGTTAAAACATGGAATCATATCCTATTTGTGTAGATGGATTATCTGGTCCAAATTCAGTTATTTACGAACTACCATCTTATAGCTAGAACATTGCTGAGTGCAGTGTTAAACAAAAATACAAACTAACGAACTGAGTCAGTGAATTAGGCATCCTTGTGCCCCTTGAATATTGAAGTAATATTAAAGTCAGATTAATCTGATTTGGGAATAATTGTGTACTCTGACAAGTTGGTATTTTTGTGTTATTCAGGGCTACAACAGATTGATAGTGTTCAGCCGTCCATTCTACTTCTGTCTGTGTTGTGGCCTGGTGTTGTTGCTGGACTATGCAAGTGACCGTGTCGGGAACCATCCCATTTCCATCTACGGGATGCCTTTTACAGCTGAATCTTCTCTCATATTTGCTCGAGATTTACTCAAGAGTAAGTAGAAGGCCTTCCTCCAATACTTGAATCAATAACAAATCTAGCTAATGCCAGTTTCATCTTGTGAAAAACACAAATCATCTGAAAGTTAGATGGATGCCAAGAGAATGATCTTTTGTGTCACATTAGGAGTGGTGAGGTAGCCTAGTTGTTAAAGCATTTGCTCATCAAGCCGAAAATTTGAGTTCGAATTCCCACATGGGTACAATGTGTGAAGTCCATTTCTGGTGTCCCTCACAGTGATATTGCAGGAATATTGCTAAAAACAGCATAAAACCATACTCACTCACTTGTATCGCATTAACATGCTAAAGGTATTATTGGGTGATAGTCAATGTTTCACAAACCAACATGTCACTGTAATACTTTGTGTTGTAAAACAACATAGCTCACTCTGATTGTCCATGTCTCTTCAGTCTTCATCCTGTGTTTCCCGCTGCTGTTTACGGCAGGGCTTCTACCTCAGGTCAATACGTTTATCATGTACATGCTAGAGCAGATCGACATGCATGTCTTCGGGGGCAATGGTGAGTATATCACCCTGCATGCAAATACAGATGCCTAGTACTATAGGAGATATGTATTGTTCCAGATTATTGCAGGTATTCTGCATTATGCTACCTTCTTATGATGGATTGATGCTGGACTTTTAAATACCATTGTAATAAATGATAAAAAACCAACAAGCACTGAAGTTTTTTAAGAATCCATTAAATGTTTTTATTTTTGCTAAGTACTTGATAAAGATTCTATTAGTTCCTTTAAAATCTGTTTGATTTTTTAAACCTAGCCTAGTAATGTAAGGCACAGCAATTCACAGTGCTATGTTATAGGTGCCAGAATCTGACAGTCATGGGTTCCAATCCCAGATTATGAACGTGGTTGTCAGCACCACTCCATTGAGTGTTATTTTCTTGATACTGTATTTCAGCAACGACAGGCCTGGTTGCCTCAGTGTATTGTTTGTGTAGAAGTGTGTTTGCTGTTGCCCTGCTCTATGGCTTCTGTTATGGAGCTCTCTTGGTGAGTACAATAACATTTTCACTGAAATACAATTGAGGTAATGATAATAATCTAGTGTTTTGTAACCTGCATTATCAAACTTTTCAGTTTTCATATCAGCTCAGGAGGTTGGGTAGCCATGTGGTTAGAACATTCACTGAGTATATAGTAGACATGAACTTGATTCACGCACATGGGTTCTGTGTGTCAAGCCCATTTCGGGCCTCCTCCACAATGATGTATTGTTGGAATTCAAAGAATTGAAGAAGCCATACTCACTTCCCCACTCAATCCCGTCAGTGTATCACCATACTTCACACATTCATCTCATTTGAGATGTGCTAATAGATACCTTGCGTGCTTAGAAAATAATATGGTTTTCCGCTAGTGAATATGTTGATTCAGGTTTTACAAGCATAATTAGTTCTCAAACATGGAATAAGTGAGACTATTAATGGTTTTATATTTGTAATGTATCCATGAGGATTCCTGGAGATTGACTGGAGTGTTTGCTTTGTAGGGTGTGGGAACGGAACATACATGTGGGGAGACTGTGGAACGAGAGGCAGCTCAGAATGTTCTGTTCTCTGTGTTCTGTGGTGTGCTGGTAGCTGTCTCATATCACCTCAGTCGAAGTGCAAGTGACCCCAGTGTGCTGTGGTAAGTTGCAGACTTTGATTTGACTTGTTCTGATAAGTCCATGCCTTAGTCTGTGTCCCTCATTCATCATTACTTGACTTGACTTATCTTGTGGTAAGTTCATGCCTTAACATGCCTGTAATCTGGTAAGTTCTAGACTTGACTTATGCTCAGAGTTCAGAGTTTGAACAGGTAAGTTCATTCATTGATCTGTGCTCATGTAAGTTCATCATATGGATCAGCTGGTTACAGTATGTGACCTTGCATTGTTACTGCATAGATTTGCTCATGCAGTCAACCACTTGATTAACTGATCACCAGTAAGTAGTACTAGAGTGGGGGTTTTGCCGCACATGCGGCTTAGAGGCTTATTTTTATGAAACATGTTCCCCAGCCCCCCTTAAAAACGGCGATGGTCTATCGAGAGGCATCCTTCGATGTGCCGCCAGCCTAGACCCAAAGTTCCGAATATTGACTGATTGGGAGTCCTGGTGGTGTGAAGGGAGAGTGTAGGACTCGTAATCCAGCAACGCGAGTTCGAGATGGGGTATCGGTGGAAACTTTTGCAAATGAAACAAGTACCGTAAGTGCCACAGTGCACATCAAACAACGATGACTCAAGCTTCGGGTCCAGGAACAGTCATGCGAATTAGAAAAGCGATCTTGGACCTCGGGGACACGCGCGGCTTCGAAGACCCCAGGGTCGAAGGCAAAATATACGGTTTAGAATTAGGAAACAACACTTACAGGCGAGCGGAAGTCCGCGGTGGTGGTGGTAACCTAGGAGATTTAGACGATGTCGTCACCAGAGGTCTCTTAAAAACCCAGTACAATCTCGTCCTCAACGACAATAACAAATGGATGATGGTCCCAGCATTCGATGGCAATCTAGGCGATTTAGACAATGTTGAGACCCGAGGCCTCTTAACAAACATGTTGTACCAGTTCGTCCTAACCGATGATAACCAGTGGACGTTGATCTCCTCCCAAATCAACTGGCTACTCGATATCACCCTCGTTTCTCCCTACGTGTTTGCGGAGTCGAAGGATCATTATTTAACGAAAGTCCTCAATAAGGGGATTCTCATCGCGTCTTACATCCCCTCGCAACGAAGGAGTGTGCTCGTGTGCCTCATCCTGAATAAAGCGGGTCATTTGCTAGCGAGTCGACCGGATAGCCAAAATACAAGTTTACAGTTTGTGCCTGAATTTGAAGAGGTGTCCAATGTCCTAGAAGGGATTCCAACCAATTCAACGCTTTATATCAAAGACTTCCTCGGGGAGGCATCACCCGACCGAGATGTTGAAATTATAACGGGAGTAAACCTCCGTTGGCCTCGAACTTGGAGAATACAACCGCGATCACCCGGCCTCACGAGGATTTTTCTACTTTCAAAAATCCATCTCATCAGCTTAAAGTTTACGCACAAGAAATCGTCTGAGAATCAATTGAAGACTCTTCCATAATACGAGCATAACCATGGGCGACGTGTCAAACCCGAATCAAATCGCAACCATCGCGTTCTCTGATCTCGGGGACACGTGAGGATTCGACGAACCCGGTACGGAAAACGCCTTGTACGTCCTGCAATTACAAAACAACGTGTACCAACGACGAGAAGTCATCGTCGAATTGAACTGGATCATCAATAGCGTCCTGACCAACCCCTATCTCGTCATGGATCAGGATTGTAATATCCTCGAACTCAAAAACAATGGGATTCTACTGGGAATTTTTATACCGTTTCATAAAAAGGGAATGTACGCATCACCATTACCAGATCAAACGGGTTCTATGCTAGTCCCTCACTTGGAAGACACAGCGAAATGGCTCTTTTTAAAACGATATAGTGAAGTCCCAGACTTGTGGATCACTGTGATACCAGGTTCTACCCTTATTATCGACGTCGTTCTTGGAAATGCCTCTGGACAACTGGTGGGACTTCTGTCTGGGATAACCATACGCTGGAACGACGCTGTCGCTGTCGTATTTATGTACAACTAGGAACAGCTTCCACCGCAAGCCTCGAGGGAGTCGAGGTTTTTATTGGAGATGACATTTTACTCTACCATGCTTTTGCATTCGATCACGTGTACCTCATCAGCTTAAAGTACATTCATCAAATATTGACGGCGGAACAATTAAAGCTTATTTCCTAACTTATAATATACTCGAGATGGGATTGTATCCGCCATGGACGCGGTGCTCAAACGCTCGAAACCGTGGATGGATTTCGTTTGCGACAGATCAGCAAAATTAAACACCAACTGGAATGAGAACGCGACATGCGAATCGGATTGCACAAAAAATACCATCGAGCCGTCAATGCCATCGACGGTGTGGACACATCTCTCGTGGCAGTTAGCATGGGATTAGGCGTAGCAGGCGTTGGCTTATTATCCACCATCATGGCCACACCCGTTGTCCTCGGGTTAGAAATAACTGCCAGGGTATCGGGGCTGGCTGGGGTATCGGGGCTGGCGGGAGTAGCCCTTAAATTCATTTCATGTCGTCTGCAAGACTCGAAAAACCGCTGACATCGGCGAAGACAAGGAAAAAACCCTCATAGAACAGGGTCGACAACAAATCATTCAAACCTTCCTTACCAAGAGCAAAGATCTCATCAAAGATTCACCTTAAACTGTTTTGTTGATGTAAACATAACCTAGTAAAAAATAGTAAACCCTCATCGTACTACTACTTTTCAAGAAACCCACATTAGGTCAACCCGACCGAAGGCAGTCAGGCGAGAGCAGCTAGGCAACAGCTACTGTTTAGATCAATGCACATCAAGCAAACTGGGTTTTGTAGATTTTAGCAATGTAACTCGTACGCTTTCCAAGCTTATGTACCGGTATAACCCGATTTTAAAAATAATTGATTGTGGCTTCTAAAAATGTTTTTCAGCATCTGGTTTCAAACATCCTTTTCGCTACAACCAGCCAGCAACCCTAATACGGCTGTGTGCCTTGCTTTGTATTCAATACCCGTGTGACAGGCCACAGCCAGAGAAATACTCTGACGTCAGGTCTAGGCGGCGTTGCTAAGCTCGGCCGCCATCTTGGTTGAGCTTAGCAACAACGGATCTGCCTGGCCGCCGTTACTAGGCTGGACCACCATCTTTGTTTACTTTAGCAACGACGGATCTGCCAGGGCCGCCGTTACTAGGCTGGACCACCATCTTGTTTAACTTAGCAATGACGGATCTGCCAGGGCCGCCGTTACTAGGCTGGACCACCATCTTGTTTAACTTAGCAACAACGGTGCTTGTTTCACTTGCAAAAGTTTCCACCGATACCCCGTCTCGAACTACGGTCTACCTTCACACCACCGGGACTCCCAATCAGTCAATATTCGGAACTTTGGGTTTAGGCTGGCGGCACATCGAAGGATGCCTCTCGATAGACCATCGCCGTTTTTAAGGGGGGCTGGGGAACATGTTTCATAAAAATAAGCCTCTAAGCCGCATGTTCGGCAAAAACCCCACCCTAGTACTACTTCAGTATCACTGTGACATCATAGAACATCACATCCACAATCATGTCTCTTACATCTACAATGTTCCTGAACATTATCATTATTACAACTTCAATGTTAAAGCTGAAATATGTAGATATTAAGGTGAGGCTTACATGATGTGTTTAGCCAACAACAGTGTCATTTTGAAGTGTATGTTTTCTAGGATGATGATCAAGGACTGTGTTGTGCGACGAGAGGAGGAAAAAACGGAGGAAAAACAGGATGAGAAGGAGGAGGAGCTGGTTGATCCACTTCCAGGCAAACTGAAGACATGTGTGGTCAGTAAATCATCATCAAATCTCATCATCTTGTCTACTTTGTGTCTTCATGCTTTGTGTCCTCCGGGAATATTTCTGAAAAGCATCACTCACTCACTCATTCACTCTCACTCACTAGTATCTCATGCTTGTTGTAAGTGGCGACTAACTGGGTTGGGTAGTTAGGCTTGCTGACTTGGTTCACACGTCATCATATCCGAATTGCGCAGATGGATGTTCATGCTGTCGATTGGTCCAGAGTCGATTATTTACAGACCGCCGCCATATAGCTGGCATATTGCTGAGTGCGGTGTTAAACAACAACCAAACCTCACTCACTCACCCACCCCAGCAAACCCCACCCACCCACTCACTCACTCACACTCTTTATTACATCAGATATGACCCGCTTATAAGATCACCCACCCACCAGCACACTCACCAGCTCACTCACTCACTCACTCAAATAAATTTAAGTACAGTTCCTCATGCATTGATATCTGCATTGTGAATCAATTTGAATGTTTTAAAGAAGTTGTGATACTTGTGGGAACAACATGCATGATGTGGTGTGATGTTGTATTTTGTACAGAGTGAGAGACTACAGTCGGATCTGCTGGTGTCCGTGTTCATCACTATCTTCGTGTTTGCTGTCCACGTCAGTACCGCCTTCACCAGTCCTGTGTTGCAGGTGAGACTTCTACCATATACAATTATAGACTGGTGATGAGGTTAATACCTGTTTTTTTTCGTCCTTGGTCAATATTGCTTTTCGCAATAAAAACAGGTATTGACCGAATTCACCAGTCCATAAATGTTTTATTATGTAATTACCGAACAAAAGCTTCTAAAAACCGAAACATGTCCATTTAGTCAAGAAAAATCATTCTATTTTCGCTACAAACCAATAATGTTATGTCAACCATACTGTGCCTTGTAAACAATAGAATGACGTCATAGCTTGACGTCAAAATCTATTTTTTAGTAACTCAAGTCAATATGACTTTTGGTCGGACCTGGGTTGAAGTCAATATGCGTTTCTGTTGACGGTCAGGTGACCGCCTCTAGACCAATCAGGTAGCCAGAAAAATATGCTTACATAATAATATGTATTACCAAGTAGGGTAGAATCATTGTGTGTACTAACTTTCTCAAAATCCAGATGTGCATTTTGGTGATTCTCATAGCCTGATTGGTCAGTTTAAACCACAGGATGTCAAATGCCTCATAATTGATTTTAAAAAAAGAACATTAAAATCATCCACAATTGATGTCACAAATTAATCACTCAACTTGTTTTAAAGTTTAAGACTTCAGTCCTATATGGCCCACGCTGACCTCTATGCTCTGCTTGCAGCCCCTCCTGAGTGACATCCTGTATTACCTGGCAGCCAGCCTGGGGCTGGTCATCCATTACATCATCCCCCAGCTGAGGAAGGAGATGCCCTGGCTGTGCTGCTCCCACCCTGCCTTCCAGAGCAGGGAGAGGAACTACTTTGAAGTCAAAGGTGACATGCAAAGCTTGTCTGTCTCAAGACTTACTGTACACCTTTGGGGATTGGGATAGGGGTTATGGGTTGGGGATGGGGGTGGGGGTGGTGGGCTGTTAAATTGTTATCCCCCCGGCATATAATGTGGGTATAGTCAGCACCTCGTCCATCCGTAATCATTTCATTTCGGAGCATAACTTAAAAAATCATTCAAGACTTTTCAATAAAAATTAGTAGATATATGAGACAGATCCCAAAGTAGTGCGTTTTGCTATTTGAAGATTTTTGGCATTTTTATTTTTCTCGGTTTCCATGTAAACAATTTGGAATTAGTCTCAAAAGGGAGGGGTGCACTTCATTTCTAGAGCACAACTCAAAACCGTTCAATATATTTTAACAAGACTTGGCAGATATATCAAACAGATCTTGAAGTGGTGCTCTTTGCTATTTGTGGATTTTTGGCATTTATAGTTTTCATGATTTCCATTGAAATGATTTGGACTTAGTCTAAAAAGATCAAGTTGGACTTTATGTAACAGTCAGATGATTTGTTCTTTCACATGTTGGGGGCCAGGGGAGTTTGTCAGCTTCTGACGCAGACTCATGTATGTCTTTATTCAGTTTTTTAAAGTTTATGATTTTGATGCAGAGTAATGAGATACACACCAGATCTGTCAATATTCAGTGTTCAAAGTGTAGCATGAAAATCAAGGGTCCTTGTCATAAACCGTCATGTAAATGATCATCAGCAACCCATACCAGGCACAAGAGGTGACTGTCTGGGTCAGGTATGTTAACTGCTCAGTTGGATGCTCATAATGTCAGGCTCCAGATTGTCCTTTTATACACTGCAGTGATATGCTTATGATGATTTTAACGATCACTGCTTGGGGGTAGCCTATAATGAACTGACAGATAACTTTTCGGGTCCCAGTGTGAAGCCCATCCGGTGTTCCCATATGTTGCTGGAATATATAATAGTTTAAATGCATATAATGAGCCACGAATATTTAGTCTATTCAGTGGTCTCTTTGAGTTTATTGGAAGGATAATTTACTTGAGCTTGGAATATTGCTGAGTGGGGCGTTAAACGACAAATTAAGATTTTAGATTGTCACCACAGGAGCATGCCTCAATAGGTAAAGGACCTCCTTTATTTCAAATACTTCAATAGCAAATTCATGCAATTACTTTAAACACTACAGATACAAGGTTAATTGTATCTGAAGAATGCTTGTCACTTAAGGCAGAAGGTTTGGTTTCAGAGTTGTTTAGTAACGCAATAACATCTTCGTGGAGATGAGGGAATGTTACTAATGTATTTCTCCTTTATTACTACAGAACCAGCCAAGGTGATGTGGTTTGAGAAGATGTACGTGTGGTTGAGATTCTTCGAGCGCAATGCCATGTATCCTGTTGTTTGTCTCTGTGCCTTAACTACCTCAGCTCCATACATCGTGTGCAAGTTCAAAAACTTGTAAGTCCATTTTGTCGTTCTCTCTGTACCCCGAGAATTCTCTCTGAAACCTCATTATGTATCAAGTGGAGTGATTTAGTTATGTAGCTGACTGTATGTCTTAATCAAAGGCATGGATTGGTTTGTCAAGGCTGTACTAGGCCACCCAAATAATGTTGACAGTGTCCTAGAACAGTATTCACTCACTAGCTCCCTGTATGATGGAGCAGACCATCGATTTTACACTGAATGAATATATGGTTTGAAACAGTATGGGGAGAAAAACTGTGTCAGCACACAAAATGGGGCTGGAGTGTAAAGCAGACAAGCATTATATAAGGTAGTATTGAGACACAAACATGTTTTTAGTACAAATTTAGGGATCATGTATGCTTTGATAATGTGCTTCATACAGCATGGCGTTATAGACAGGGTGTGTAAATTAGCATTGATTTTTAAGGTTAGTACAAGGGGTTTGTCTTATACCTTTGGTCGCTTTGTATCCAGTAATATATGGAAGTCATTGACAGACCCATAGAACAAAAATATGCTGCTTGTTCATAGGTTTTGAGGAGTTCATTTGCTAGTATGATTCTTAGGACAACATACAAATTGATGACTAAAAATGGAAATCCATGGTTGTTTGTTGACGTTCCAAGTTTGATGTGAATTTGTTTCATTTGTGTCAGTATTGGTCCCCTGATTGTGGTGGTGTGTGCGTTGAAGATGCTGAGGTTTGCGTTCTCCGACACCCCCAGGCAGTACATGATCCTCACCTTCACCGTCTTCTTCTTCAAGTATGACTTCAGGTGGTCATCCGAGAAAATCCTCATCGACTATTTCTTCATTTCCATCTTATTTTGCAAGGTGAGACTTTCTTGATGCAGTTTGAAAGGAAATACCCAGTGATATGTGTTTGGGAATTTTATAACCATTTTGAATTCTCAAATTATGACATTGTTGTCATAATCGACTATTTAAATGAGGAGTAAGTGGGTTCTATGTGCGATCTGGCAGATGAAGTGTCTTTGTACCTGAAAAAGTTAATGTTTCCATGTGCTACAGCATAGTAAACAGTTTGTTTGCTTGCCACAAACTTATTTTCAGGCTTCTGTGATATGACTTTGTTATGTGTGACTGCCGATTTACTTTTTGTACATATAATGTTTTCTATGGGAGGTCAGTATATGATATGATATACTCTCATCATTAATTTAGACTCTGGAACAACTGACACAAGCCAATGTTTGTGCTCTGACTTAAGTAAGGCTATGTTTAACAGAGGTAATCGTGACACTACAACACTCTCTCCAGTACTTACATATGTCAGAGTATTTGAACACATTACAATGATTAATCACCTTGTGATGTGACATTTTTTTCAGTTCTGTGATCTGTGGTTGAAGATGAAGTTTATCATTACATACATCGCACCATGGCAGATAACTTGGGGGTCTGCCTTTCATGCCTTTGCACAACCTTTCAGTGTGCCTCGTATCCTTCCTAATGGTGTCACTGTGTCAGATATTATCATGGACACTGCTTGTGTGAGATGTGTGAAAGGATTGTAAAGTCTTGTAGTTTAATTTAAGATTAAGTAGTCAACTAGCTCTGTGGAGTTACAATTGCTTGTCTTGAGAGGCTACATTTTAGACTGGGTTACCATTGGATTCTTGCTCATGATATCAATCACTACATTTTCTTGTCCAGATTCTGATTAATTAATGGTCATATTCTGTAGCTGGAATATTGCTGAATATGATGTTAAACAGCAGTATTCACAAACATGTTGAAGTTAGCTTTGAGTGAATAGATAAAATGATTGATTTCAAACATAAATACATGTTTTTGCTTTTCTCTGAAATTGGGCAAGACAAGTTTCAAACTAAGATCAAAGTAAAGTTTATGATGAAAGAATTGAACCCTTTTGTCATGTTTGTTATAAAATAGATGAGAACTTGTCTTTACAATACTATTACATCAGTGTATATTTATGCTCCTTGACTGCAGTCAGATTCTGCAATGTTGTTTCTTCAGGCAGCTATTTCAGCTTTTCTTTCCACCCCTCTAAACCCATTCCTGGGCAGTGCTATTTTCATCACATCGTACATCCGACCAGTCAAGTTCTGGGAGAGAGACTACAAGTGAGTAAGGATAGTTTTGTACAACACAGGCATCTGTCTGAATTATCAGTTCAACTGCTGTAAAAATAACCGAATTTTCAACTCTGTTGTATATATAACAGAAATCTCAGCTCAACTGTGGTATAGAGAACTGAAATATTACCTTTGCTGTTGTATCTATAACAGATATATCAGCAGAACTGTGGTATATATAACAGAAATATCCGCTCAACTGTGGTATAGACAACTGAAATATTACCCTTGCTGTTGTATCTATAACAGATATATCAGCAGAACTGTGGTATGAAGAACAAAATTATCAACTGAAAGTTGTTTGTGTATAATGGAATTCTGCTCAAATGTAATATGTAACACAATTAACAACTCAGCTGTACCAGATGTGACTTGATTATTGATAATGGCTGTACTAACGCTTATTGCTGCATTATACCACCAATAAACAAACATGGTGTTCATCCCCTTGGCTTGGATCAATGATCTAGTCAGTGTACCACCAGAGCCTGAATACATGCTCATACTATCAACCGCTAGTTTAAATGCTTCAACAGCAGTTACACTTTGCTAATAGCTTCTCGATACAAGTTTGATCAAATTGCTCCCTGACTCAAGGTAATGACTATGCCATGTATGCACAGTGTTGAACATGAGGCCTATGTTTTCAGTACCAAGCGGGTGGATCACAGCAATACACGCCTTGCCTCACAGATAGAGAGAAATCCAGGTTTGTTTTCTTATCATGTAACTCCTTTACAGAATCCAATCATGTAAGAAATAAAACATTAAAGTCTTTGTAATACTGTGATATTCAACTCATACCATAAACTTGTGGTCATCAAACAATTGATGTCGATCATCAAACGATTTTCTGTGTCTCCGGATGCAATACAGGTTTCAACGATGTGTTTAAAATCTGACTGACTGACTGAGTTTGGTTTTACTCCGCTTTTAGCAATATTCCAGCAATATCACGGCGGGGGACACCAGAAATGGGCTTCACACATTGTACCCATGTGGGGATTTGACCCGGGTTTTCGGCGTGACGAGCCAACGCTTTAACCACTAGGCTACCCCACCGCCCAGTTTAAAATCTGACACCTGTGTCAATGTGGGCTTTCCTCATTAAGCTGCAGCTCCTCTCCAACATTAAGTTCTAACACCATGATATAACTGAAATACTTTTCAAAGCTGCATCAAACCCAGCTCTCACTCACTCACTCACTCACTCACTCACTCACTCACTCACTCACTCACTCACTCACTCACTCACTCACTCACTCACTCACTCACTCACTCACTCACTCACTCACTCACTCACTCATTATGAAAGAACTAACTGTTCCCCCTTGTCACAGGTGCTGATGACAACAACCTCAACTCCATCTTCTATGAGCACCTGACTCGGTCACTACAGCACAGCCTGTGTGGGGATTTGATGCTGGGACGCTGGGGCAACTACACCCAGGGAGACTGCTTCATCATGGCCTCCGACTACCTCAACGCTCTTGTACATATCATAGAAACAGGCAACGGGCTTGTCACATTCCAGTTGAGGGGATTGGAGTTCAGAGGTAGGGCCACTGCAATACCAGTATCTAACTCCTAACAATATTGTACTGTGGAAATGCAACAGTCTGTGAATTGTGAGTCAAGAAATGCATTTTGGATAAAGTATAAATATTGTATTCAATTTGTGATTTTGATTTAAAAGTGAAAATTGTATATACACTCTAGTTAAATAATATATTCACACTTGCTTATAATCTCTTTCTGTCTTTAGAAAATGAATATGTAAGATGCTAGAGTAGAGTACTACTATGCAGTTCGTTAGTGTGGATATTGTCTGTATCGCAGGTACCTACTGTCAACAGAGAGAGGTGGAAGCTATCACTGAGGGAGTAGAGGAGAATGAAGGTAGGTACTCCAGCCTGAGTCAACCTTGAAGATCTGGGTTAGAATTGATCTTTGGCAACCCATGCTTGTCGTAAGAGGTGTCTAATGGGATCGGGCTGTCAGGCTCCCTGACTTGGTTGACACATGTCATTGTATCCCATGACGTAGATTGATGCTCATGATATCGATCACTTGATCATATGTTACAGACTGCTGTCATATAGTTGCTGAGTGCAGTATTAAAAAGGTGCCCATTATGACCCTGTTTCACACCAAGATGTGAATGTTACAGGAGCTACTTATCAAGCTTTCTAAATAAGGCAACACAATATGCTGTACATGCCTCAGACTTGCCAGAAACATGGTATCATTGGTTCAAAAGCCAGATGCGCCCTGGGTGCCATTCTACTAACTGATCTTAGCCCTACAGCAAACGTAAACACTTATAATCCCAATCTTAGTGTGACGTTACGATCGGCATAGCGTTCCACTAACCCAGCTTACCCAAGTCAATCGTAGAGTTAAGATCCAAAGTCTAAGTTACTCATGACCAACTTAGGATTGCTAAAATCAATCATAGAGAAACCAAAATGGCGGCTTTCATTATTCTATGTGAAGAAGAAGAGTGAGCATTACGCTGTGAGCATGTTTTACGAGACCACTCACAGATTCTAGATATATTATCAGATGATGTATTAGTGACGAGGTACAGGATGCCCCGTCACGCCTTGTTTATGCTGATCGACAAGGTTCAGCCACAGATTATGCCAGATACCAAGCATTCCCATGCACTAGCCCTTGAAACCAGAATTGATATTTCCTCAGGAGAAAAATTGCTCTTTCTCTCTCAAGGTTTCTTGCTAAGACTGATCTTAAATAAGATTGGTTAGTGGAACGGCACCTGATTATGTTACTAGTTTCTGTCCTAAGAGTCTCACCCAAAGTGATGCATATCTAAAACCTGCATCACTTCTGGCATTAATCTCACATTATGCAAATATGTAATGATATAACTTTAGTACTGTTCAAAGCAGTGTAATCCCAACTCATTTACTTTCACCTTTTATCCCCTTTTATGGGGTATTAAAATGGACTTCGCACATTTGTCTTTTCCGAGCAGAACTCTAAAACCGCTCTGAATAAAATATTTTTGGCATTTCCATGGCAACAAGTTCGACTTAGACTGAAATTAGTGGTAGTGCTATTTTCCAGAGCAGAACTCTAAAACCGCTCACTATTTCTTCACCAAACTTGGCACATAGATAGATCTGGTTGTGTACTGGTACCTTTTGGTAGTTTTGGAATTCTGAATAATGAATAAAATATTTTTGGCTTTTCCGTGGCAACAAGTTTGACTTAGCCTGAAATTGGTGGTAGTGCTCTTTTCCGGATCTGAACTCTAAAATCATTCACTATATCTTCACCAAACTTGACACATAGATTGGTCTGGTGGTGTACTGGTTCCTTTTTTTGGTAGTTTTGGAATTCTGAATAAAATATCTTTTACGCTTTCCGTGGCAACAAGTTTGACTTAGCCTGAAATTGGTGGTAGTGCTCTTTCCGAGCAGAACTCTAAAACCGCTCAATGTTTCTTCACCAAACTTGGCACATACATAGATCTGGTGGTGTACTGGTGCCTTTGGTAGTTTTGGATTTCTGAATAAAATACTTTTGGCATTTCCATGGCAACAAGTTTGACATAGACTGAAATTGATGATAGTGCTCCTTTCTGGAGCAGAACTCTAAAACCTTTCAATACTCTCCTTCCACTTTTCTATATACACACCTAAATATTTGACATAATCATAACTCGTAGACATGATCATGAAGAGTATTTTGCCATTGTGGGGATATTGATGACTTTGTCTTCTTGTTAACTTTGATGGTAACAATCTGTTGTATGTGATGACCTCTGTTAATGTCTCCATGTTAGTTGATACTTTCTTGTGGGGGAGTAAGCTAAATCTAAGAATGAAAGGTCAAGGTCACTGTGGTCATCTTATCTTTTTCAGGATTCTGTTGTTTTGAGCCAGGCCACTTACCACATTTCTTGTCTCTGAACGCGGCTTTCAACCAGCGGTGGTTGGCATGGGAGGTTGTGGTGACAAAGTATGTACTTGAGGGCTACAGCATCTCCGACAACAGCGCCGCTACCATGCTGACAGTCTTTGATCTCAGGAGAGTGCTTATCACATATTACATCAAGGTAAATTATCATTTAAATTTGCCTACTTTCACATTGCCTAGCGAATCCGCCTCGCGGGTGTAGTGGTGGTTAGAGCGTCCACCGAGAGCGGAAGGTCGCTGGTTCAATCTCCGACCGCGCCATACCAAAAGACATGGTACTTGTTGGTCCCTGCCTGGCACTCAGCATTAATGGGTACAACAAGGACTGGTCGGCTCAGAGTCAGTATAATGTGTCTGAGTGGGGTATTCATGCTTCACTGCGGCATGGTATCTCAGTGGGTTAGCACTATAAAACCAGCTTAAATCTGGGCTAGTACAAGCAGCCGCACATACACATACACACGCATGCATGTCGTCATATGAGCTTTAAATATTCTCAAGCATGACGTAAAACCCAATTTCACCTCACCTCACATTGCCTAGCACCTGAATGAATAGGAGATTGGTGGTTCTTAAGTTTCCCATGGGTTGTTGCTCATGCTGTCAACCACTGGTTTGCCTGGTAAAGACTCACATGTCTGATGTGGCTGTACAATTATCGACTGTAGTGTGAAATAACACTGACATTTTCTTATTCACGAGTTATATGACTGAAAGAAACATCTCGATGAAACTCACTCACTTTGAACTTGTAAATAGATTGTTGCATTTAATCTTTCAGTTGTCATACCTTTGTATTCTCTCATTGTCATCTTACCCTGTTGGGATCCAGGTGCTCAACTGGTCAAATGTTTGTCTTATGTGCCAATCCAAGACAGCTGCAAACTAGTGGTGTTCCGATTAATTGAAATAATCGAAGATTGGTCGCAGTGACCAAACGACCAAGCAATCGATCACATTTTCTCATAATCAACATAAACAATTTTGGAACCGCTGTTTAGTCTTTGAAATACTTGACAATGGAACATATCTTAGAAGTTGTCAGGGCCTGGAAACATGTTTATTTCTTAGAAAACTCACTTCACTAACTGAAAAGTCATGACTGAATATTTCTCTAAGACTCCAGGAAGTTTATGTTCATGATATATTAGTCATCACTTTAAAGTAACAAGTTGCATCATGTTATACTTTTCTGCAGTAACAACCTGGATAGGAAAAATCTGAAAAATGACGCTTAACCAATTTTTTTTCAATGATTGTTCTGGTAATGAAGCAATCATCAATTGTGAGATTTGAACCAATTCCCAACTCTACTGTAAACTGATATTTTGAATGACCTCGTTGTTTTAGCTTGTTTGTGTTTAGTTCTGTGATGGTGTTGACCTTTAGCCATGATGTTACTGCTTTTTACATGACTCAGTCCTGAACATTTGTGTGCCTAGAAACAGATTGACTATATTGTTTACACACAGTTCATGGCAAATGTATAGGCCTTACTGTGTTATGTGTTTGCAGAGTATAATATATTACACTGTGCGGTCGCCGAGGCTGGAGCAGTGGCTGACAGACGACGCCATCAGGGAGGCATTACAGACCACCACCGATGACGATTACACCGACCTTGACCCCACCTTCAACATGCATGTAGATGATGACTACGACACCAAACTGTCGGGCATTTCCAGACGCTCGTTCTGCGCAGTGTACCTTCAATGGATACAGCACTGTGCGTCACGGAGAGAGAATGTAAGTGTAGACACATGGATGCTTAAATAGCAGTTAACAGTTTGTTTGCCAGAATAATGTCTTTTTTTACTTCAATCCCTGCCAACATTCTTGATGAAAAAACACATCGATGAGGGACAGATTGTGCACTTTAATTAATGAAAGAATTTCTGTTGATGATGATACAGCAGTGTTTAAATGCTGTGAACTATGAAACTTTATGAAAAACATTTGATTGACAAATTATGCATTGTAACTGAAACAGTGTAAAAATCTGTTACTGTAGCTCCTCCATGAATCTCAGTGGTAGAATGTTTCTTCAGCAACCCATAAGCGGCAACCAAGAGGTTTGAGCAGCAGTCTAGCTGACTTGGTGGAAGCATGTCATCTTATGCCAATCAATGCTCATGACGTCAATCCTTGGATTATCTGTTCCAGACTTGATTATTTACAGATTGCCTTCAAAGAGTTTGAATATAAAACATAAAACATAAGTCATAAAACAAGACAGACATGTAACTGCAATGGTCACCATAGGACATGTGTTGATATAGTAGAGTCTGGTTGATGCAGTTTGTTCAACATATGGGAGGGAAAGTCAAGATATTGGCATCACAACTCCCTTAAAAGGACCGTCCCTAATTTATGGCTAGGGGTGGGGTGGGGTGGGGTGTGTGATGATGATAATTTTAAGGAGGGGTCACCCATTTTGTTCTTGGGGGTGTCAGCAATTTTGTAAACATGTACTGGGGGTCAGCAATTTTGTACATAAATATATATTTAATATTATGCTTAGAAACTATGGGAAGGGGAGGGGGTTCATTGATTTTGTACATGACATGCAGGGGGGTCACTTATTTTGTACATAAATTATAGGGGGAGGGTCATTCACATTGTACATGTAAAAATCATCATCAACACCCCCTAGCCATAAATTATAAACGGTCCCTAACGATATGTGAATGTGCTGTTGTTTAACTGCTGTGATGATGATTGTCCATGTGTTGCAGAGTGTGGACAGTGATAAGGGCTCCATGCTGGTATCTCTATGCTACAGCCTCAGTCTCCTGGGTCGTCGCGCCCTAGCTTATGCCTCTCACAACAGTGCCTCAGCAAGGTCAGTCCACAGGAGTCACAAGTTTCAAGCGTGAGTTGGTTGACATAAACTAGCCCTACTGCTGTGTCGCATACATATATAGATATATGCTCCCATTCATTGAAACATAGCTATATGACTTAAATGTATACCTGGAAGAGTGTACAGATTGATTCACCTACTTGTTTTTTTGTGTGACATGGTGCCATAGTCATGTCAATATTGAGGTTGGGGACTACATATTTCCTTCAGGGTCAAACTAGATTCACCCACCTGTCCATTCTAATTATTCACAGATGATTAAAATGTTGCTGCCTTGCCATAATTGTTACTTCCTACGAGTTAGAATTGATCTTCAGTAACCCATGCTTCTCATAAGAGGCGACTCATGGGATCGGCTGGTCAGGCTCGCTGACTTAGTTGACACATGTCATTGTATCCCAATTGCGTAGATCGATGCTCATGCTGTTGATCACTGGATTGTCTGGGCCAGACTTGATTATTTACAGACCACCACCATATAGCTGTAATATTGCTGAGTGCGGCATAAAGCCAAACTCAATCAATCAATTTTATTCCCTACCACTCTGATAACCTGCAATTCCTATATCCAGTCCTGAAAGTGATTCCCTTCAACTGATGTTTATGTATGTATTGGTATACTGCAGTAGGGCTGTTATATCTCAACTCAGACTAGAAACTGTTCATTCCTGTGATATATTTCATGATTATAAATATTGATGTGAGAGAAGTGTTCTTTGATTAATTCAGTAATAATTTATCAGCTTATGTAACAGTTGTAACTGCTGGCAAAGGACACTGTATGTCATGATACATGAGCACTGTCATGACGGTCATTTTCAAACTACCTTCGAAGGATTTTAGATCTGGTTAAACAATTGTCTGTAGTCCAGGTCTATATTGGAAGAAGAGATTGAAATTAACAAAAAACATCTTTTAACATAACTTTGATTCTCATGATGGTGTGATTTTTGAAACTTTATCATATGAAAGATAGAAGCATGATAATTGTTATGAATAATAAAGTCTTATTCTTTGTAACAACGCTTGCCCCTTCGTCTGGGGAGACCTGTGAAGCTCTGTGTGAGAAATGGTCTTCAGAAAATGTGCTTGTCGTAAGAGACGATTAATGGGATTGGGTGGTCAGGCTAGCTGACATGGATACACATGTAATTGTATTCCAAATGGGTAAACTGATGCTGGATAAACTGGATTGTCTGGTCTGGGGAAAAAATTATTTAGAGACCGCTGCCAAATAGCTGCAATGTTGCAGCTTTACACAGCAAACATACAAATTGTCTGTTGAATACTGATGGTAACAGGGGCACAAACTGGTATCAGTATTTAAGTGATGAGTGACAAGAAGTACTATCAGTATTCACCCGATGAAGGGGAGAGAAGTAGTATCAGTAATCACCTGCAGAAAGGCTGAGAAGTAGTATCAGTATTCACCCGATGAAGGGGAGAGAAGTAGTACAAGTATTCACCTTCAGAAGAGCAGGAAGTAGTACAAGTATTCACCCAATGAATGGTCTAGAAGTAGTACAAGTATTCACCTTCAGAAGGGCAGGAAGTAGTACAAGCATTCACCTTCAGAAGGGCAAGAAGTAGTATCAGTATTCACCTAATGAAGAGCAAGAAGTAGTACAAGTATTAACCTTCAGAAGGGCAGGAAGTAGTACAAGTATTCACCTTCAGAAGGGCAAGAAGTAGTATCAGTATTCACCTAATGAAGAGCAAGAAGTAGTACAAGTATTAACCTTCAGAAGGGCAAGAAGTATTATCAGTATTCACCCAATGAAGAGCAAGAAGTAGTGTCAGTATTCATCTAATAGAGGGCGAGAAGTAGTACAAGTATTCACCTTCAGAAGGGCAAGAAGTAGTATCAGTATTCACCTAATGAAGAGCAAGAAGTAGTACAAGTATTAACCTTCAGAAGGGCAAGAAGTATTATCAGTATTAACCCAATGAAGAGCAAGAAGTAGTGTCAGTATTCACCTAATAGAGGGCGAGAAGTAGTATCAGTATTCACCCAATGAAGAGCAAGAAGTAGTATCAGTATTCACCTTCAGAAGGGCAAGAAGTATTATCAGTATTCACCTAATGAAGAGCAAGAAGTAGTACAAGTATTCATCTTCAGAAGGGCAAGAAGTATTATCAGTATTCACCCAATGAAGAGCAAGAAGTATTATCAGTATTCACCTTCAGAAGGGCAAGAAGTATTATCAGTATTAACCTTCAGAAGGGCAAGAAGTATTATCAGTATTAACCTTCAGAAGGGCAAGAAGTATTATCAGTATTAACCTTCAGAAGGGCAAGAAGTATTATCAGTATTAACCCAATGAAGAGCAAGAAGTAGTGTCAGTATTCACCTAATAGAGGGCGAGAAGTAGTATCAGTATTCACCTTCAGAAGGGCAAGAAGTAGTATCAGTATTCACCTAATGAAGAGCAAAGAGTAGTACAAGTATTAACCTTCAGAAGGGCAAGAAGTATTATCAGTATTAACCCAATGAAGAGCAAGAAGTAGTGTCAGTATTCACCTAATAGAGGGTAGTACAAGCTTAGTAGTAGTATCAGTATTCACCTTCAATGAAGTATCAGTATTCACCTTCAGAAGTAGAAGTAGTATCAGTATTCACCTTCAGAAGGGCAAGAAGTATTATCAGTATTCACCTAATGAAGAGCAAGAAGTAGTACAAGTATTCATCTTCAGAAGGGCAAGAAGTATTATCAGTATTCACCCAATGAAGAGCAAGAAGTATTATCAGTATTCACCTTCAGAAGGGCAAGAAGTATTATCAGTATTCAACCTTCAGAAGGGCAAGAAGTATTATCAGTATTAACCTTCAGAAGGGCAAGAAGTATTATCAGTATTAACCTTCAGAAGGGCAAGAAGTATTATCAGTATTAACCCAATGAAGAGCAAGAAGTAGTGTCAGTATTCACCTAATAGAGGGCGAGAAGTAGTATCAGTATTCACCTTCAGAAGGGCGAGAAGTAGTATCAGTATTCAAACAATGAAGGGGTGAGAAGTAGTATCAGTATTCACCCAATGAAGAGCAAGAAGTATTATCAGTATTCACCTTCAGAAGGGCAAGAAGTATTATCAGTATTCACCTTCAGAAGGGCAAGAAGTATTATCAGTATTAACCTTCAGAAGGGCAAGAAGTATTATCAGTATTCACCTTCAGAAGGGCAAGAAGTATTATCAGTATGAACCCAATGAAGAGCAAGAAGTAGTGTCAGTATTCACCTAATAGAGGGCGAGAAGTAGTACAAGTATTCACCTTCAGAAGAGCAAGAAGTATTATCAGTATTAAGCCAATGAAGAGCAAGAAGTAGTACAAGTATTCACCCAATGAAGAGCAAGAAGTAGTACAAGTATTAACCTTCAGAAGGGCAAGAAGTATTATCAGTATTAACCCAATGAAGAGCAAGAAGTAGTATCAGTATTCACCTAATAGAGGGCGAGAAGTAGTATCAGTATTCACCTTCAGAAGGGCGAGAAGTAGTATCAGTAATCACCTGCACAAGGGCAAGAAGTAGTATCAGTATTAACCCAATGAAGAGCAAGAAGTAGTACAAGTATTAACCTTTAGAAGGGCAAGAAGTATTATCAGTATTCACCCAATGAAGAGCAAGAAGTAGTACAAGTATTCACCTTCAGAAGGGCAAGAAGTAGTTATCAGTATTCACCTAATGAAGGGCTTAGCAATTCACCTTCAGAAGTAGTACAAGTATTAACCTTCAGAAGGGCAAGAAGTAGTATCAGTATTCACCTAATGAAGAAGAGGGCAAGAAGTATTATCAGTATTCACCTAATAGAGGGCTTAGTATCAGTATTCAGAAGACGTATCAGCATTCACCTTCAGAAGGGCAAGAAGTAGTATCAGTATTCACCCAATGAAGGGCTAGTAGAAGTAAGTATCAGTATTCACCACAATGAAGGCAAGTAGTATCAGTATTCATTCAGTATTCAGAAGGGCAGGAAGTAGTATAAGTATTCACCTTCAGAAGGCAAGGCAGAAGAGTGTCAGTATTCACCTTCAGAAGGGCAGGAAGTAGTATCAGTATTCACCTTCAGAAGGGCGAGAAGTAGTATCAATATTCAGTTGCAGAAGGGCAAGAAGTATTCATCAATATTTATTCACCTTCAGAAGGGCAAGAAGTAGTGTCAGTATTCACCCAATGAAGGGCAAGAAGTAGTATCAATATTCACCTGCAGAAGGGCAAGAAGTAGTACCAGTATTCACCTTCAGAAGGGCAAGAAGTAGTATCAGTATTCACCTTCAGAAGGGCTTCAGAAGTAAGAAGGATCAGTATTCACCTTCAGAAGGGCAGGACGGGCAGTAGTATCAGTATTCACCTTCATGAAGGGCGAGAAGAGAAGTAGTATCAGTATTCACACAATGAAGGGTCTAGAACTAGTATCAGTATTCACCCAATGAAGGGCAAGAAGTAGTATCAGTAATCACCTGCACAAGGGCAAGAAGAAGCATCGATATTTACCTTCAGAAGGGCAAGAAGTAGTGTCAGTATTCACCCAATGAAGGGCAAGAAGTAGTATCAATATTCACCTGATGAAGGGCAAGAAGTAGTACCAGTATTCACCAGATGAAGGGCGAGCAGAAGTACCAGTATTCACCTTCAGAAGGTTAGGAAGTAGTACCAGTATTCACCTTCAGAAGGGCAAGAAGTAGTATCAGTATTCACCTTCAGAAGGGCAAGAAGTAGTATCAGTATTCACCTTCAGAAGGGCAAGAAGTAGTATCAGTATTCACCTTCAGAAGGGCAAGAAGTAGTATCAATATTCACCTTCAGAAGGGCAAGAAGTAGTATCAATATTCACCTTCAGAAGGGCAAGAAGTAGCATCAATAATCACCTTCAAAGGGCAAGAAGTAGCATCAATAATCACCTTCAAAAGGGCAAGAAGTAGTATCAATATTCACCTGCAGAAGGGCAAGAAGTAGTATCAGTATTCACCTTCAGAAGGGCAGGAAGTAGTATCAGTATTCACCTTCAGAAGGGCAAGAAGTAGTATCAATATTCACCTTCAGAAGGGCAAGAAGTAGCATCAATAATCACCTTCAAAAGGGCAAGAAGTAGTATCAATATTCACCTGCAGAAGGGCAAGAAGTAGTATCAATATTCACCTTCAGAAGGTTAGGAAGTAGTACCAGTATTCACCTTCAGAAGGGCAGGAAGTAGTATCAGTATTTAGCTGCAGAAGGGCAAGAAGTAGTATCAGTATTCACCTTCAGAAGGGCAAGAAGTAGTATCAGTATTCACCCAATGAATGGGGAGAAGTAGTATCAGTATTCACCTAATGAATGGGGAGAAGTAGTATCAGTATTCACCTAATGAATGGGGAGAAGTAGTATCAGTATTCACCTTATAAATGTCTATGAAAGACTCCACATGAATGATGAGTGTGAATATGTTTGTGCTTTATGCCTTTCAGTGTTGATTTCTTCCTGTTTGGCCTCCATGCCCTCTTTAAGGGGGACTTGCGGATCACCTCTCAGCGGGACGAGTGGGTGTTTGCTGACATGGAGATGATGAGGAGGGTGGTGGCCCCAGCTATCAGAATGTCACTCAAACTCCACCAGGTAATCGGTCCCAGAGACCTATGCTTGTCCATTTAGGTGCTTACATTATTTACAGGCCTCTGACTGTAGGTGTGGGTTCGAATCCGCCATTTGTCTCAACCACAAAAAGTACTAGAATCTCTACTTAACTGAGAAAGTGTTATCCCAATTATGCCATATATTACATTTGACCACTTTCTAAATGGACGCCATATAGCTGGAATATTGCTGAGTGTGGCGTAAAACTATACTCACTCACTCACTTTCTAAATGGCATTGTGTATTCTGTCGTATTGTTAATAAATGATATTGATAATATTGACTTTAGCTTCGACTACAAACAAGTGAATCTATGGAGTATATGTACATGTTTATTATTAACCTGTTATGGATCTGATTTGAGTATGTTCACAATATCAATCACTTCCTCTATATAGCTGACAAAAACAATAAGTAAATAGTCACTTTATTTCTACATATTTGCCCTCGTCAGCAAGATGGAAAAGACAACAATGCCCAGTGAGCTGAAGGTCTATGATTTGATCCAAATAGATTTCATTGTAGTATCAGTGTTAAGTGGATACAACAAGGACTGGTCAATTGAATATACCATGTCTGAGTGTCATGTTAAACTGTGCCATTTCATCTCAGTGGGATAGCACTATGAAAACATCCATTCTAGTTGCTTTATGAGTGGTCTTGAAAGAAAAATGTTAAACATCACCGTGACACATGTCATCGTATCCCAGTTGCGTAGATTGACGCTCACGCTGTTGATCACTGGATTGTCTGGTCCAGACTTGATTATTTACAGACCACCGCCATATAACTGAAATATTGCTGAATGTGGCATTAAACAACAAACCAAACCAAAAACAAATAGAACTGCCCCAGCCGCTTGTAATATTGCTGACTGATGTAAAGCTGCTTACACTCACATTATTTATTTTATTTTATTTTATTTATATAGGATATTTATATAGCACACATATCCATGTATCTAATACATGCTCAGAGCGCTGACATTTTTCCCCTCGATCATTGGATGTCAATCTCAACGGCAAATCATATTATCAATCTCAACTCCCCAGGGAGCATACAACTCTACACATTACACAGGGATGTCAATTTTCTGCTGATCTATTGATTTCCGCCAATTTTATTTCAAACTGTTCAGTTCAATTACCCCCTGAACCGCCCATTCGATGACACAGTATTAAGTTTTCAGCTGAAAATAGATTTTCCTGTTGCCATCCCTGGTTACATGAAGGAGCATGTAACACTAGTAACAGCTCAATTTGTTTGACATTCCAGGATCACTTCACATCACCTGAGGAGTATGAAGATCCCCGTGCCTTGTACGATGCCATCACTTCCCATGAAATGAACATGGTCATATCACATGAGGCTGACCCGGCCTGGAGGAATGCGGTGCTCTCTAATGTCCCATCTCTTCTTGCCCTTCGGTAAGGACAACCCTAGCTCGACTCACTTCATTTCTGTAAAGACAGCATTGCTCTCAAGTGTGCCTTTACTTACAGCCCTTCAGTACAGACAGGCCGAGCTGTGCTTTCTTTGATTTGTTAGGTAGCCTAGTGGTTAAAGCGTTAGCTTATCATGCCAAAGACCTGGGCTCAATTCCCCACATGGGTGGAATATGCAAAGCCCATTTCATGTGTCACCCCGCCTCGATATTGCTGTAATATTACTAAAAGGGGCATAAAACTAACCTCACTCACTCACTCACTCACTCACTTTATTTGATTTCTCTTGAGAGTTGTAGTGTTACCTGATATGGTTTGAATGATTTCGCCTTTTGAATCAACGATCACTCACTCACTCATGCTGTAACTGTGTTATGTTCCAGACATGTGTTTGATGAAGGATCAGATGAATACAAGATCATCATGCTCAACAAGAGATACCTCAGCTTTAGGGTTGTCAAGGTAAGGAACTTAAGGACTTTAAGTAAAAACACATAACATAAACTAAACACATCTGAAGGTGAAAGCTCGGGCATAGTTTTTTAAAACTTTTATCTATGCACGCATAGAGTGAATATATTTTGCTAAACTTTCATCAACAATTTTGTTTATATTTTAGATCATGAAGGAATGATAAACTCTACACTCAAAATATTGAGGCCCCTCACCTGGATTTGGCTCTAAGCATCATTTTCAGTAACTTTTAGGTTCCTATGATATCTTGTTAATACTCTTCATCAGACAGTGATAAAACAGAGCTAGTATTCTTTGAATGATAACTGTTGTTGTATATGTCGAGTTTAATCGGCTTGGCATCTGTCAGAATGTCAGAAGACTGGAGTTTTGGACTGATTGCTGAAAGACCCAACTGTTCCTGTGTTGCTATATGTTCTAAGTGATCCATGAGTTATGTGTGAGGTTTGTTGCTGCTATGTTTCCAGGTGAACCGTGAGTGTGTCCGAGGCTTGTGGGCAGGGCAGCAGCAGGAACTCATTTTCCTGAGAAATAGAAATCCAGAGCGAGGCAGCATCCAAAACGCAAAGCAGGCTTTGCGTAACATGATCAACTCCTCGTGTGATCAGCCGATTGGGTACCCCATATATGTGTCCCCCTCTCACCACCGCCTACTCTTCCACTCACCAACAGCTGGCTGCCATCATTGGAGCAGAGTTTATCCTCGCCAATGTCCAAAAATTCTTTCAAAATGTTTGGAAAAGGTCAGTCAAATTAGAAGAACTTTCGTCCTGTTTTACTGACAGTTACGTTTCTGTTTCTGTTTCTTTGTGTGCTTTTCCAGAAAGATGTTATTGCTTGTTGCCTTTTGTTTGTGGTTTAATGTGGGTGGTGGGGTAGCCTAGTGGTTAAAGAGTTCCGAAGGCCCAGGGTCGATTCCTGACGTGGGTACAGTGTGTGAAGCACAGTTCTGGTATCCCACTGCTGTGGGTTGCTGGAATATTGCTGAAAGCGCGCTGTAAAGGCCACGAGCCTGACCACTGAATCTTGTGCTTGATAATTTTGTAAAACTGTACCCTGCTATTTTCATTTAGTTTGTGGATATATATTGTGCAAACTGCATGTCATGGCATAGTCGTCAAGGAAAGAGGGTTGTAAGTATTTGCTCAATGGCTAATATAGTAAGATGTTTTTAATTATAGAAGTGTTCACATACATTATTGTGAATGAAACATTGTATTATGTGTGTCAGGTTGAGGCGGCGATGTGATGCGACATGTGCAGGGGGTAGTTCAGCATTCCAGGATGACCACATGTACAGCGTCAGTCCCCCTCATCAGTATGCAGCAGCAGCAGCTCTAGGTCAGTAGTCTCCCTTTACCCACAGCTAATCCTCAGTCCAATAGGTCCAATGCTTGTCATCAAATGAGGGTATTTTTGTGACCTGGCAAGTGACACTGCAACTCAGCATGAATTGCTTATGTCAACTTAATCCAGAGTCAATCATTTGTTTGTCCCCGTACTACAGCTAGCTGTTGCCATCTGTATTGTCAAATGCGGCATAAAGTAACATTCTGTCACTAATGAATGTGCTATTACTGTGATAGGTGAATAGTCTCAATAATGGATATTTGCATGTCTTATATATGGGTTATCTCCTATCTTTCCATTCAGGTTCCACATGTTCTGGCCCAGGGTCGACTCCAACTAACCAGCCACAGGATATCCCCCTCCAGAGTCTGGGTAACCGAGGGAGCCTCATCTCTACCGCCAGCACTGCCAGCAAGCCTAGTGCCCTGGCATCTCTAGCCAACCTCATCGGGGGACTCCGCAGCAAATAAAGACCCCCTGCCTCACAGAGTCAGGGTGAGGGGATTGATAGTCCATGCATTTTTTACCTTGGCAATCTCACTAATATGAGGTTATACCAGTGGCTTAGTCATCTGAAGTCCAGAGCGTTTTTTGGGGGCGGTAGGGTAGCCTAGTGGTATAAGCATTTGTTCATCATGCCAAAGACCTGGGTTCGATTCCCCACATGGGCACATTGTGTGATGTCCATTTCTGGTGTCCCCTGCTGTGATATTCCTGGAATATTGCTAAACGTGGCATAAAACTAAACTCACTCACTCTCAGAGCGTCTTTGGCCCAAACTTATGACAGTAGGTTCAAGTCCTGTTTCACCCTGGTAATATTTCAAGGTTTGTCTGCTCCATTTCTGTGCTTATGGTGTTTCTTAGGTAAACATCTGAGACCTGCAAAGATCTGTCGGCTATTGTCCCTTATTAGCCTGCATGCCATGATGTAACTGTAAAGGTCCTTCAAAGCAGCATTGAACCAGACTCACTCACTCACCCTGAATACTCAATTTGAATTGGGTGAAGGATTTGGAGCAGCAGTGATTTCTGTCCCGAATGGAGAATAATAAATCCCATGTTGTGTATAATATATACATCCTGTCATACTATGCACTACAGCATCTGTGTGAGAAAGGGTCTACTATCAAGGACTATTTGTGTGAATGTTTCTTAATATCAAAATTTCTGTATCAAGGTGTTAACAATTAAACCAAAATCGTTTGGGAAATCCAAAGTTTGCTCAAGGGTTTCTTTCCATGGAAGGATCGGTTGGGAAGCCTAGTGGTTAAGCCGTTCACCCATCACAGCGAAAGTACGGGTTCAATTTCCCACTTGGGTACAATATGTGAAGCCCATTTCTGGTGTCCTCTCCATGACGTTGCTGTAATATTGCTAAAAGTGGCATAACACCATACTCACTCACTCACTTTCCATGGAAATGTTTTGGGTGTTATTTGTTATAACACATCATGTGAACTGAATATTATTTACACCTCCTGAAATATGTATATACACTGATGTTAATTTATAGATGTATCAAAACCTCCAAAAGAATAACATGTCATTTGACTAGAACTATACAATGACTATATTTGTATGACTAGTTCCATTCTGATAGTTGTGTTGTTAGGTTCCTGCTAGAAACTTTCTAGACCAACAGTAGGCAATACACACTAAAGTAGGCAATACACACTAAAGTAGGCAATACACACCCATTCCCCTTCACCACCGAACTGATTCCATGGTTGGAGTCAATGGAGCATCTACATGGAGAGTCGGTCGATGGGTTCATCCCGTGGTGGTTTCAATGCCATAAGAATTTATACTTGTTAACTGCCTTGTATTTGGTATTAAGGTGAGTGGGTGAGTTTAGTTGGGCAGTGCGGTAGCCTAGCGGTTACAGCGTTGGCTCTTCACCGAGAAGACCCGATTCGATTCCCCACATGGGTACAATGTGTGAAGCCCAATTCTGGTGTCCCCCACCCTGATATTGCTGGAATATTGCTAAAAGCGGTGTAAAACCAAACTCAGTCAGTCAGTTTGTTTTATGCTGCTTTTAGCAATATTCCAGCAAATTGGTATTAGGGTGTCAAGGGATCAGTGTGCTCGGTCTGAATGGAGTACCCATGTTGAAACAACAGCATGGAATCAAAATGGACTAGTACACAAATACATAATAGGCAAGTCATATATATACTAAGTGAAATAATTTTGAACGTGGCGAAAAATCCCATTTCACCTTCCAACGACCTCTGTCTTTCTGATATAGTGATTCAGTTGGTGAACCAATTTTTGTGTGTTTGGCAGGTTTTGGACACCAGTCATGTGTTTGATACCGTGAATCTCGGAAGGAGAATAGATGTTCAGTGGCCAAATGACGAATGGCGTCAGCATGGAGGCAAGAATACTTGGAAAGACTGGACACCCTGTAAAGGCATGGAGGGGATTGTGGTTCATCGCTGGGTGCCAGGTCATCGCGACCCCAATCGGCGCTCTCATGTAGACAAAACAATATTATTGGTTCAGGTTGGAGAACATTATGTGCCAATAGCAGAGAACGGTATCACAGACTTGGGAGCGGAAGTATGACAGAGGGGGACTTATGCTTTTAAAACCTGTGATAATTTAAAATAAAATCCTACCGTGTGGCTATGTGTATCCAAGAGGCCCAGAAGAATGGTGGATGATCAAGCAGGAAGTGTTTGGCAGTAGAATGATTGGCCACAGAGGTGTGCCATGTGTTCACTGTTTGAGGAGTTTCAAACATGCAGGAAGTACACTGTTTGAGGAGTTTCAAACATGCAGGAAGTACACTGTTTGAGGAGTTTCAAACATGCAGGAAGTACACTGTTTGAGGAGTTTCAAACATGCAGGAAGTACTCTGTTTGAGGAGTTTCAAACATGCAGGAAGTACACTGTTTGAGGAGTTTCAAACATGCAGGAAGTACACTGTTTGAGGAGTTTCAAACATGCAGGAAGTACACTGTTTGAGGAGTTTCAAACATGCAGGAAGTACTCTGTTTGAGGGAAGTACACTGTTTGAGGAGTTTCAAACATGCAGGAAGTACACTGTTTTGCTCTTGGAGTCCGTTAGGGAGTGTCCAATGTCATGCCAGTGAAAGACATAACAGGGCCGACAGGCATTGCATGGAGATGTTTGTAATGGATTGCCCTGACTGGAAACATGCCCTGAAATATTGACCTGTTATAGCCTAATATATTACTGTTAGGTTTTGAAATGTTTCACATCACGGTTGTCTGCCTCTTGGCAGGTGGACTGAGGAATATTGAGCGTCATCTTGTCATGTGTGTGTATTACATCATCTATAAATCTTCATATGAACTTACTAGAACATTAATTGTCAGATCAGATATATCAGAGTGGTCATAGCAGTGTTGTGTTTATTAGAATGACTGTGTAATCAGTATGATTACTGTCGAGAATGACCAAATAATAATTACTAAAGTGCAATTGAAGCAGATTCTGGTATAGAACCACTGTTCTCATATCTAACCAGGTCTGAAGAATGGGTTTCATATCTACACATTTTGATGATTTTGTATTATCTTCATCCTGGACGTACAACAGTACACAAGTGACATGACAATAACAAAAAAACTTTTAAGAATATATTTTAGTGCTTTTTATTTATCAAGTAAGTGTTTATGTTTTAGATTTATGAACTTGACTGATATTAGTGAGTTGTGATTCCAAGCAGAATAGATCTTGCAAGCAAATGTGTAATCCTGGTTTTTTTTATCTTATTTAAGCAGTTGTAACCACATTAATTTTCACAAGGCAATGTTAGTGCAAAAACTGGTGTAGGTCTATGGTAAGGTGGAAATAAGGTATAGGTATTATAGTGGTTGTAGCACTGGATAGGGACTTTGTGGAGTTCATATGCTGTGTGGAAAACAGAGTATAGAGGTTGGGTTAGTTCTAAGTGCAAAACAAATAGATTTTTGAGAACAGGTCGGTCCAGGCTTATGTACGTTTTTTTGTGCTCAATTACTTTACAATATTTACATATCTACTAGAACTTGCTGCTAGGGTTCGGTGAGGCAGTTTATACATGCTGTTTAAGTACAGGGTCAAAATTGTGTTTAAATACCATATTCACAGTAGCAGTGTATGAAATAAGGCGGGCTAGATTTCTAGATTTCTGACGGGCGGTCTAAATTTACAGCTAGCCATCCTGATGGTCTGGTAAAATTTTTAGATGTTCCATACATCGGAGTAAATCTTGGTGTCTAGTCTGGTTAAATGCACTTTGGACTGGTAACATTTTGAAGTTACCAGCCCTGATGTCTGGCTGGGATTTTGGCTTATTTCATACACTGACAGTAGTATGCTTTGTGAGTGCTTCAGACATTGACAAAAGGGTACTTATTAAAACCAAGTAAGATTTATTTTCAGAAATGAAGACGTTGTTATCAATTAGTTCAAATTATGATGAAACTAACAAAGCTGTTATATGCCCTTCTTAGCAGCATTTTTTGTGCAACATACACAAGACAATATTAACTGATGTAAGAACATTCGGTCTTTTTGGACGTGTTTATGAATGTTATTCACAGACGGTTCTTGAAGTGTATCAGGGCCTTATTTGAACAGGTTGCTTATTATGGTGAATACGGCTCCAATACTGATGTCTAATCATTGACAATCATCTATTGTTTGACTTCCCAGCAGGTCTACAGTAATTTGGGTTTTCGATGCTTGGTTAGAATGCAGAAGACAATTATACAATTCTCTCTATTAACCTGAGAATAAGTTCAAAAGTGGTCGGCAAATATAAAGCATATTCTTTGTTCAAGTATATTATCCAGAGATGCCAACCCTTATGCTATAGGCGTAATTATTACGATTTTGACCATTAAATTACGCCATTACACTTAATCTGCAAAATTACACTTTTCTACTCATTTTACGAAAATCAATAAAGTGGGTAAAATTTCACAGGGAAATGTTTCGTAACACACAGGTGCAGGGGTGCAGAAATGGCCTTGCACCGATAGGAATCGCTTACTCTTAGTATCGCACTCATTCCAATAAACTTGCAAGGAATTAAAGTATTTTGAGTCACATGACCAACAATTTTCACATGTGTTTCTGTCTAGAATCTTCCTTTCGTGAAAACATGTACCATGTTGAAGCGATCGGCAGACAAATATTACACTTTTTAGGTCCAAATTACACTTTTTGACCTCTAGTATTACACTTAGGCCCAAAATAGGGTTGGCATCTCTGTATTATCTGTCAACGATGTTAAGTCTGAAAACCAGTAAATATCTGTTAATAGGCAACAGTTGTTCACAGTGGAAACTATGATGTAGTGATGTAGCAAAATATAACAAAGTTTAGGTGTGGGAAAATGATTTCTTGTTTGTCAGAATTTTTGTCATTCAGAACTCAGTACTACAAACATGTGAATAATTTGTTGTGCTAACGTGTTAAATGAGACTTTGATCAGGTTAAAAAAAACAGAACAAGAAAGATATAAAATATTTGTTTTTTACCAGTTTTAGAAAAAGTGTTGTCAATTTTGTTATCTTCTCAATGCTATATGTAACTATCTAATATGTAGCTGTCAAATTTGAGATTTCTATAAGATTTTCATATTACAATAACAGCACAACCTGTACTGTAACTTGGGTTTAAAGCTTTGTAGATAGAACAGAGAAACCATATCAAGGGGAGATCACTCCCAATACCAAACAGGCTCCTTGGAGTCCTTTGAGAAGGGGCCAAAGAATACTGAGATTCATATGAGTGTTCCATGAAGGGTGTTTATGTATTTAAACTTGCTCAAATATATGAGTCTGTTTGCTGGTGGACCTTGCTCTATTACCAAGAGTATTATGTCCCCATTCTATTATGATATTTACCCTGGACCCATAAAATCTTCATCTCAATCTGTCTTATGTATTTTAGAACAGAAGTCCTCTCTCTGATAAGCTTCAAATCAATAACCATTCAAAATACTTCTGAAAATAATTTTGCCATAGATCTTCATTCAAAGTCATCGCCCTGTATGAGAAAGCCTAAGATATGTTTATGGAATCAGAATATGTGCGCATTTTGCCTAAAAAGATGTTTCTGTGGGTATTATCAAAGGGTGGAATGAAGCTACAAGGCATTCAAGGTATGCAGCCTGCAACAGGGTGACTTGTGTACGTAGTTTGTTTAGATCATGAAATTTGATCAGAAGGCAATTATTCCTGTCGTATCATTCAACCCAGACACAAAATAAAGGTATAGTTTTGAGTGTCTAGGATATTTATCATAATAGAAAGGAGACCTGATATGACTGAGAATATAGGATACTGGTGGACCAGAGCTCTGCCAACCAAAGATTTGATTTAGAAAAGGATATGCTGTTGTATATGTTGCTTGAATCTGAGTGTGGACAAGGAAACTCAAATGCCATGTGCTATGAGACTGTGCCTCTTTGACTCTTATTACACATGTCTAGTATGGTGCTTCACTCATCATATGCTCATACTGACGCTGTGGAACTGTAGCTATGAACTGCTCTGCTTTTACTAGGTTGTCCACTAATCATTTAGTATGGGGAAGTTTAGGATTTTATGTTTAAGAGGGGCCTGAAAATACAGTGTATGGTTGTCGTCAAAATGTGTCTCAGTTATATGGGGAAAAACACAGATGTAATCATACAAAAATGGGATCATTGAAATATAATATCTTAGAAGTACCTTATTGACATTTATGTGAATACCACTCTGTCATGTTTGTGGAGACTGAGCCTGATTTTGCAGATTTGTTCACAAGTACTGTTCAAAAACATTTCAAGAGTCTTTTTTTAAAGGTATTCCTCAGTTTTAAACTATATGATGATTAGTACACCTTAATATGAACCAAAACACATAAAAGAGTTGCCTTCTAAAGAAGACCAGCTAGTTGGTTAAAGTTGTTGTCTTACACCCGATACCTGGGTTCAGTTCCCAAACTGGTTCTAAGTGTGACTCCTTTGAAACGTATAGTCTATTACATCATAGTCATAAATTCCCGTTTGGATGCAGTCAAAGCAAAGTCTTCATCACTCCATACATATCTATTAGTTGTGAGGAAAACCCTGCCCTTCACACAAATTATTTTGCTGGAATATTGCAAAGAGCAGCATAAACTCAACTCACTCACACAAAAACATGACAGCAATGTCCATAGATGGAAAAGTTGACTTGTTCTTGAATTCTCATTCATTAGGCAAACAAATATTAATTGATAGTAGTGGTTAAAGCTCATGACACCAAGGGGTCAAGTCGCAACATGGCTACCATTGTGGAGACCATTTCTGGGGTCCTCTGACATGATATTGCTGAAATATTTGTAAAAGTGTGTAGAACCATAGTCGCTCACCCACTCTAGGGAGTATGAAATGTTCATTACATCCCTCAAAGGGCACTTGAACAGTACATGTGAAGAGTTTGGGCAGATGCAGATTTTGTATCCGACTCTAGAACAATACATTATGCGGAATTCATAGTGACCTAGTGTTGGATAGCTCCTTCAGAGCCGTACATAGCCACAGTCTTGCAGCTACCTCATATTGTTGATCCAAGGTTCCAGTTCTCTTGTGGTTTTCGATGGGAGATGTTATGACTTGTACCCATATGTTCTCTCTCTCATCATGGCAGTCTACCAGTCACTTCGATCAAGGTGACTGCATTTTAGTTCTACTTAATGCCTTTTGTCTTGTAACTTTTTATAGCTAGTATGTATTGATTGTTCATCAAAAATAGAACAATCAAATCTTC